ACGGATTTTGAAGCTGGAGTGAAAGACTTTAGAGACCGTTTGGCCAATTATGAGAGGGTAACTACCTGCAGTTTCTAAATGTGTCTTAATTACTCTGACAAATCATAGCTGACTGAGTTGTGATGCACCCTTGTCTTTGTACTGGATTTAAATGTTGAGTTTATTCTTTCCTTACCAGGTTTATGAGCCTGTTGAAGAAGGTTCTTACATCAAAATGATTGATATGGTCAGCGGTAATGGTGGACAGATCCAAGTATGTTTCATATATGTGCTTGATGAAGACATTTGTCACTGATGGATTTTCTTACGGATCTCCATAGGACTATTCCTGACTGGTTAATTTATTCGTTTTGCAGGTGAACAATATAAGTGGTTACCTTCCTGGAAGAATTGTGTTTTTCTTGGTATGAATTAGCAATGTCTTGCTGGTTTTCTTAGTTGAAATTTCTTTAGCCTATTTGTAACACGCAAAAATCAGCTGACAACTTATATACTTGCAAGGGTGACTAATCTCATAGTCATCATTCATTGGCTAATTCAATATAAGTTAAGTGATAACGAGGTCATTGTTTTTTGAAGAATCTGATAATTTTCTACCTTCAATTAGGTCAATACGCATCTGACTCCACGACCAATACTGCTCACTCGACATGGAGAAAGTATGGATAATGTTAGAGGCCGAACTGGAGGAGACAGTGTTATAAGGTATGTCTTTGCTCAGTTGCCAATTGCTGCTCTGAGCCGATGCATTCCTTTTGTTTTCAATCATCTTATTCCGTACGAATCTATCCCAGTAGTTTGGCTTAACAAGTCTTGCTACTACTTCCTCAGTTGATTAGTTTGGCTCTTGATTAATATGCTAATCATAGCGTCGAAACTGTATTTCTTGTTTGAAATGTGAAAATGTGTCTTACTAACCTTTGTCAACTTTAAAACGCAGTGAATCTGGAAAAATTTATGCAAAGAAACTTGCCAACTTTGTCGAGAAGCGACTGAAAAACGAAAAGGCTGCTTCTGTACGTATTGCAGACTGTTACATTATGTTTAAATTCTGATGTGTTGGCAATTGTTCCAAAGAAAGCTTGTTGCCAACGTACAATTTGAGAGTTTCTTAGAAGTTTTTTTGTTAATACGGTAAAATACTGATTAACGTTTGTCTATTTCAGATTTGGACCAGTACACTACAGAGAACAATCTTAACAGCAGGTCCCATCGTCGGTTTTCCAAAGGTTGGTGTTTACCAACTGCCATAAAATATATACTGACTCTTAATGTCTTGTAATCATATGTTGCTGCAAGGAAAAATCATTTTCTCCATGTTCAGGTGCAATGGCGTGCTCTGGACGAGATCAATTCTGGAGTTTGCGATGGAATGACATATGAAGAGATAAAGAAGAACATGCCAGAAGAGTACGAGTAAGTCACTTGGTCGAATCTGTGAACTTTAAAAAACTAGTTGTCAGCTCTGATTTTCAAGAGCTCTAAAAGAATCTGAGAAAGGGCACAAAAATCTATTTTATGAAGAAAGCTGCTATGCGGAGTTAGATAGAACTAGATTGGTTTCTATAGTTTTGCTCATCATAAAGCCACGAAACTAGATTGCAAACTGCTGAATAAACCAACTTACATTCCGTATTGCATGTCTAAGCTCTATGGTATACAAGCTTATCAATCCTGTAACTGGTACTAAGCTCTTACTTCTTTGACTCATCTTGTGGTGCATGTGAATGCAGATCTCGGTTAAAGGACAAATTGCGATACCGATACCCTCGTGGAGAGTCCTACCTTGATGTCATCCAAAGGTTTGTTCGTCTCTTCTTCTTCTTCTACGTTGAGTCGTAAGCTAACCTCAGCCAAACATTTTTTTTTTTTTTTTTTGACAATGTAGGCTTGAACCTGTGATCATTGAGTTAGAACGACAAAGAGCTCCTGTCGTCGTGATATCTCACCAGGTTATTCTCCAAACCAATTATTAATAATTTAATATGGCTAAACCCTTGGCTCTGGATTATAAAGATTTTGTCCACATGATCAAAGTCTAGAGGCTCAACTTATACATTGTGTTGTTGAATTATCAATGAGTTCCTCTTACTGTTGGTTGCTTTTTACACAGGCTGTTCTCAGAGCATTGTATTCATATTTTGCGGATCGTCCTCTCAAAGAGATACCACAGATGGAGGTAATCTGATTGCGATTGTAACATAATAAGTTTTTAGAGAGTTTTGGATGTAAGACAGAGACATAATAGTAACAAAGATTGGCATTTGTGAATGTATTCAAACAGATGCCACTGCACACTATCATAGAGATACAGATGGGAGTTTCTGGTGTGCAAGAGAAGCGCTACAAACTCATGGACTGAACAACAACAACAGCTATCATGTCTGTCAACAAGTCTCGTCCCAAAGATTTTTATTTATTTTTACTTTTACCTTTACTCTGCGGATAAGGAGATTTGCAGATATTACTCTGGGTTGCATTTTAGCCTCCCAGTTTGTATTTTATCCATCAAATATTTTTCTGTATACTCCCAATTCTCTTATGATCTCAACATCTTATATTCTTCATAATAATGAACTCTTATATTATGCCATCTCATCTTTGAGTGTGTTAGTAAAAAAAAGTTAAAAACATAAGTATGAATTATTATGCCATCTCATCTTTGAGTGTGTTAGTAAAAAAAAGTTAAAAACATAAAGTAGAAATTTGGTAACAGACAATGGTCCCGGCGGGGCTCGAACCCGCGACCTTCGGCTCATAAGACCAACGCTCTAACCAACTGAGCTACGGGACCATTTGTTAACATTTTTGACACTGATATTCAAATAAAAATAATTCCTGTTAATTAGAATTTAATTCAATTGTACTTTCCTAATTCATCTCTTTCTCTCTTCACCGTTTTTGTTCTTCAATCAACACAACACATCATCAAACCATCTATTCTCTTTCCAATACCGACCACAACTGTCCCTTCGAATACTTGATTCCATTTTTCTAATGTTGTATTGGTTAGAACATTAATTCTGAAAATAAAACAATACTATAGAAGAAGAGATGCAAAATCAGTAGAAAAAAAGGAAGGATACAAAATCATTTTTACTTACTAATCAGAGTGAGTTTCAAACCCGTGAAACTTGACGTATATACAAACATAACATGAGTTGATATGAGGGTTCAATTTTCACATTGTTGTTTCGAATCATTCAAAGAAATGATGTTTTGTTATATAAGTCTGTTGAAAGCAATATTTTCAGCAAAAAAAAAAAAATATAAGGCTATATAATTGTCTAGTAAAGATGAATTTTCAACAGCAATGCAAGTATTATCACCATCAACCAGTCAACACACGAGATTGAATAGTCGTTATAAAGAAACTCATGTGTGTGTGGGTGGTGGGTCGTAAGCACCAATAATTTGAATTTAAATTTTTAACATTTCATTCATATTTTTATTGTTCATAAGCACATTGTGGGGCTACAGCATTGACTTCTATGACCTACTAATTACTAGTTATCATAGTGCTAGACAAAATATGCATCGGATCCTGGTTGTTTGTTCTATGTTTCTCTACATATATATCATGGGTTTGAATTTTTCACAGTAGAAAAGAAAGACGCGCAGTGAGTACGAATCAAACATATGAAATAAAACAAACGAGATAGTAATAGCTTAAATAAAACAAAACAATTGAGTAAAAAATGATTCGTGGTTTACTTTTGTGTGCATAATCTTGGTAATAAACGCATTGTTTTTGGATACAATGTCACGTCTTGTCGATGTGCATATGGTATACGTTCAATAGGGCAGTACCTAATCTCTTATTGAGTTATTGGATAAAACAAAACAAACAGCAATACACAGAAAAATGGGTGGCCATAATTCATTATGCGCGTACCTAAAACGCATTGATGCCATAAAAGAACAAAAAGTCATTTAGTCTGAGAAAATTATGAAAAAAATACCGTCTTCATGCTAGTTCGACACACTGAGACCATTAGCCATAAATTAAAACTTAACTTGTTCAGCAAACTTAATAATAGTTGTAGTTTTGTCGTAATGATCATTGGAGATTCAAACAATGAAACATATGAATCCGTCAGTCTTGTCCTGAAAAGGCCATGCTTTTTGGCGCCTGTACCGGTACAAGGTGATTGAGATGACATGCAATGTGACTTTCTCGTTAACAAAAGAATAATAATATCCAAAGCTTACAAAAAAGAAGAAGAATAGTAATCAAAATGAGGAAAATTTTATAAATTTTCAAGCACACGTACGCATATGTAGTGCAGGGTGGGGCCAAACAGTTCTTTTCATATTTGGATGGTGGAGATGTACTCAACTCTGATGTTTCAAACTTCTATGTCTGTCAGATTCCAAATAAGTAACCAGTCATTTCAGTGATAGCATGCAACACGGTAGTGTATTCGATTTTAATATTTCAACATGTATGATTTGACATGTTAACTGTTAGCTTATATAGTTTTCATCTCTTTGTTTTCTATGTTTGTGTAACATATGTATCATAGATCAAACAATATAAAAAAAATTTCAACGTCAGGCTTTATTAATATATCAGCAAATTAAACTCTCACTTCGACCATCCAAGCTATGGATTCGGATATGAGAGTGATTAACACGAAATTGCATTTATTTTCATGGGTTCATGTATGTTATGTATATATATATATCTTGTCACAAAAGGCTGATGAATTACTACAACGTATTTTCAGATCTATCTTCCATACTTGCTATCTCATTATTGACTTAAAATGATCCGATAACTTAATAAATCTACTAATAATAATAGTGGTATCATATACAATAAAAATTGTTGCAAAATTTAAGCATAGGTCCGCACTTGACCTAAATAGAATAGTAAAATGTCTCAAGTGGCCTGCGAGTAGGGCCATGACCACGTGATTTAGTTTTTTTTTCTTCATTCTCTACTTCTCTCACAGTTCACACTATTCAACCCAAAACCCTCTCTGTTTTCCTCTCTTTTACTATTGTCTTGAAAATTAAATAAATAAAACCTAACAAAACTTCACATTCTTTCTATCATTTTCTCTCTCTTTAAAACACTAAACACTAAAATTTCGATTCACACTGTCCTCAAACACAACCACTAAATCAAACTCTCTTAAAAGAAAACAAGACCAAAACCCTAGTTTTGATGGAATCAGCAGATTCAGGGTCACAACCAGGCCCTGTCAGCAAAGAGGATCCAGGTCCGTCCAACGTAAACCCCACTTCACCTCCAGCGACGCCTAGCAGGTACGAGTCACAGAAACGACGTGACTGGACCACGTTCTTGCAGTACCTCAAGAACCACAAGCCGCCTCTTGCCTTGTCACGGTGTAGCGGAGCGCATGCCATCGAGTTCCTCAAGTACTTAGATCAGTTCGGCAAGACCAAAGTCCACGTGGCGGCTTGTCCTTACTTCGGCCATCAGCAACCTCCGTCTCCTTGCGCTTGTCCTCTCAAGCAAGCCTGGGGATCTTTAGATGCTCTGATCGGACGGTTGAGAGCAGCTTACGAGGAGAACGGTGGACGGCCTGAGCAGAACCCGTTCGCGGCACGTGCGGTGAGAATTTACTTGAGAGAAGTCAGAGAAAGTCAAGCCAAGGCACGTGGGATACCTTACGAGAAAAAGAAACGTAAACGGCCAACCACTGTTGCTCCGTCGAGAGATGGTTGGAACATCGGTGATCCGTCTGTGGCCGAGGCTGTACCTCCTTAAGTTAAATTATTATTGTCATACTTTTCTTGATATATATTAAATACATTATATATGCCTGGAACTCACATCACCTTTTTTGTTTTATTAGTAACTAATTATCAAATTTTGTGAGTTAAATATTGAAAATATATTTTTGTTCTAGTTCAGTTGATCTTTGATGAATTATGTTCTTGAAATTTTGAATTCTTATGAATTTCACACATAGTTTCAAGGACTAATTAACGAGGTTTTCATTTCATATGTACTGTATTTAATTTTCTATATAAATTATGGAGCTCTTTCTTTTGATAACCATCATGGAACTTAAATTGATCAGTGTGATGTTGAAGAGTTCAGATATCAGCGAAGAAGAAGAAATAATAGGTATGTACGTATCATTCTGTCATATACATTGGTATTTACATACATGCATGTAAATAAATCACTTCGTATTTTTAAAAAATATACACTAGTTCTTTCAAGATTGTGTACATATATGCCAAATAACTACATTATATCTAGTTAAACTTAAATCTATGTTTGTAATAACATGGTTAAAAAAAAAACATGTATTGTACATATACTCTCTCATGAATAGCAGATCTTTGTATGTGTGTTTTAAGATGCGTACGTACACACGCACGTGAACGTAGAAAGATGGTAAAAGTCACACGAACAGGACAAGATCGGGGACTCGTGAGACAATAGTGTGTTTATCACAATTACCGATAGACATCAGTCATCGTGTCCTAATACGTGTATTTACACACGTGTTCGTACTTCGTAGACCATATACAATAGTGATGTACTCGAACTAGTTTTTCCATCACCGTTAACTTGTGGTCCTATGTACAAAGTTGTTTTCGCCTATATGTAACTTCAGCCCTTGTATTTGAGCTAATAATTTTGAATGATAGAGAGCTTAGAATTCGTTGTCCTTGAAAATCATAATCTTAATTTGTTTTCTTGCTAATCACCACATGGGCTTTGACAAGGACGAGCCAGCAGCCAAACCATATTTGTTTATTCTAATATATCATTTATGAATACTTCTGTAAGGTTGTAACCAATTGGGTACATCAATTAAATTTCATTTTGATTGGAGACTAGAAGTCTAGACCAAACATTTATGGACCAATCATCAGCCTCCAGGCGGCCGTCCCAAAAACAACGAACAATTCAAAGTCATATGTTGAGGAAATTCATCATTTGACATGAGATGCAAAACTTTATTTTAAAACAGGACTTTCACACAACCCAACAAACATACATTTTGTGACATTCATATCTCAGAATCCATATATAGATTTTGAGAGTATCATGTTACGTATCACAAAAGAGAGAGAAGGTGTTTATAGCAGGCCTGTGGCGTCGATGTACGAGAACAAAGAGGTTTTGATACGTTCCAACGTATTCCACATCGTATTGACTCCTTTCCGGCAAACCAGAGGGAAGCGATTCACTTTGGCACTTCGAATGAAGTGGCTGGATGAGTGTTTAGCACACGCGTCAGGCTTTTTATTACCTTTGTAAGCCTTGCAGATGTAGCTTATGAAGTTCTCATAATCCTGCAGTGAACACACAGTTTAAAGCCAAGAAACATCAAGCAAACACATACAGAGAACTTTCTGTTCCTATGCAGCGCATCCAACTTTCATTGATCATGAGAATCTACTATAGACACTTCACTTCTCAGCAGCCATCCACATGCATCATGGTAATTTTACTTCTCGTTTGCTAACTACAGCTTAAGACAATACCCTGATTCTGAACTGCCTTGGCTCAATGAATTCACAAGAACAAGAAGATCCCACATTTGGTAACCGCAACATCCATTTCTCATAAAGTAGTGAATACAGAAGATAGTCAATTATTTATTCTCCACACTAATCTATGATACCACCTATGTAACATGTCTTCCCCATACGCTTAGGTAACTAGTATCAATTTTCGTGAATAAGGCTCTGAAAAATTATATGGGTAGAACATGATCCACTTCCTTAAAGACACTAAATCCAAAGTGTTGCACAACCGAATTCCAAATCAGTCGTAAGGATGAATGAGTGAATATAACAATATCATTCATCCACAGAGAGTGAGAAAGCGTGGAGTAGTCATAGTAAAGACTCAGTAGATTCTAAAAAGGAGCATATCCTAAACGAACCTCATAAAGTGGCTGACCATCTACCACTACCCAGGGGACATATTGATGAGGCGGCTGAAGTGCACTCGTCTCTGCAGCATACTGCAACTCAAGCTGCAACAAGCGAAACAAAACAGTGAAGAAATACACAGAAGCTTCCAAACAAGAACATAGTACATCGGATACACATATCTATAGTCGAAGTGAGCTTATAAGAGTATATCTATTCTATAATCTTCCCTCAACCAGAAAACACCATTGCACAATGTTATCATGGTTACAAGTATCCAACATTCCAATGCTAAACAGCAATCAGCAAGAGAATAAGTTCATAAAATAAAGAGGACGGGACTAAGTACCTTGTCTCCATGTCCACTACTGAGACAATCATCAACAGGTTTAGAGTTCAAATTAAGCTTCTGATAACAACTCTCCCACTTGTCATACTTGTGTTCAGTCACCAAACTCTCAACACAGTATATAAACGGAAAATGACCACTCTGCAAAAAAAAACAAAAAATGAACATCTCACACTAACTACACCTCACCTCACAAAAACAAAGTTACAACAAATGATAACAATCAGATCTTTTACCAATTTAGGCCACGCATCAATCGCACAAGCTTCTACCGTATCCAACAAGCACTCAAACGCACCGTGCTGCACAAGATTACAATTGAAGCTTTTAATTTTTATCAAATCGGATTACATCGAAAAGGTGTTAGAAGAAGGACCTGGCAAACGACAGTGACGTTATCGGAGCGGAGCTTGGTGTTCCCCCAGGGAGAGAGATGGAGATCAACGATTGAGATAAGATCATCTTCGAAGAGCTTCGTGAGGTGGTTAACTATGAAGGAAGAACAGTACGGGCAGAGAGACTCGTAGTACAGGCCAAGCGAGACTTTCGGCGAAGATGTTGTAGAAAGATCAGATGATGATGATACGAAGGAGATGAGAGAAACGTAGCAGATTAGGTGAAGAAGCTTGCTCGATGAAATCGACGCCATGATTGCAAAAGAGAAGCTCTCTGTTGTGTATCGTCTCCAATTTTTTTAACGAGTTAAAAGAGAAGTATCTGTTTAGACACGCATCTTGATATGTTCGGTGCGAAACAGATGACAATAACTGATTATCCGTTAGTTACATTTGGTTTAACCGATAAGGCCCGTCTTATAAAAGCCCAAATATTTTCCTAAAAGTTTTTGGGCCCAGTACAAATGCAGAATTGGACACATGCCAAGAGCTAGGGAATATGGAAGGGGTGTCTCTGCACAGTATACAAATCAATGGAATTGTCAATTGTGTATTTTGCAGCTTCTTATTGGCCAGACGCGGGACAGTACACAGCTATTCAACATAAGATATGGAAAGAATAAAATCAACAGAAGTATGGAAAGACATCAAATTACACCAGAAAAAAACTGATTCAAATGGTGGATAGACAGGTTCAAAATCGTCTATCATCAGTAAGAAGGATGTGAGGACACACTTGCGATGGAGGCTGGGTTTGCTACTCGATAGTTTCATCATTCTTGTAAGCAAATTGTTATATTAGACACAAATATTTGATGTGAAAACATATTTTTGTTTAAATTAATTTAGCATTCTTTTAAAAAGAATTGGAGAGACGTTGGAAGCCATTTATTATTAGGTATACTGTTGTATTTTTGGAGTTGAAGATTAAGGGATTGTTTAAAGAAAGATGAAGTTGATTAAATTTAGTATGAAAAAAACATGATTATTAATAGAAATTTAGGTAAAACTGTGAATCCTGTTAAACAAATGTATTTTCTTGGGTGAATGTTCATGGATGATCGGTCGTTGAGGATTTAATAGACAAAGCTTAGAATCAGTCTCATAAATCAGATGTGATGAGCTTGAGGACTAAAACTAATACATGAATTCTATAACCTATATACGTTAGTACATAACTTAGGCAAACGCGACAGAGATTAACCTTCTGTATACAGATCATTTATATATCAAAATAATGTTTTTTTTTTATCAATGGAGTACATGAAGGATTTGATCAACAAGACTGAGACTAACGACTAGGTAAGCAAGTTGGGTAGGATGAATGTCATCCCAGAAAAGGTAGTCATTAGCGTCAGGACAAGTCCGGGTTAAAGGATTGCACAGGTATGATAGCTCCAGCTCTCCTGTTCCGCAGCATCCTCTCGTTGTCTCCTTGAATCCTGTCCCTTTCAAAAAATGGATCCAGTACTGTTCGTAAGACGATGAAAAAGTTGCATGGTATATTCATCTTGAATTCTCATAATCTAAATGTGCGCTCTGGTGCGCACACTTCATTTTATTGGAGGAACTCTAAAGCTGAATGATAAGAGCATTGGGAGAGACTCTAAAATGGGTTGCTTAAATTTTTCTTTTTTCATTAGTTTTTTTTTTAAATAAAAAATTAATAATGAATCAAATTGCGGACCGTCACGTGTGAGTGAGGTCCGCGAACAGTGTAAACAACAGCCAAAATGAAATGTTTAATTAAGCAATTTAAGCAATGTTGTTTAACTATTTGGTGAGACCAATATTTTAAAAAATCCTAAACAACCCTCCTAAACTATCCCAATAAACATGTTCTAACAAGATTTTTTTTTTGTTAAAGGGTTTCAATGCTAAGACAAAGTGTTGACAAAGTACCATTGCTTTTGTTTCTATTTTTAATATATCTTTTTGCCGTAGAATCAACCATTTGAAGCAAAGAAAATTGTTAATGTAATTCCTAAAATTTCCATTTACTTTCTTAGCAAAAACAAACAAACAAACAATACCTACAATATAACAAATTAAACTTCTACACATTTCCATGAATTTAATTTAGAGGAAAAGGGTGGAACTGATCAAAACGCAAGGAGAACTTTGATTTATTGCGAAACGTAATGTGCATGGGATTAAAGAAAGCGTTACGTTACCGTAAGTTTGAGGATTAGTAGCCATGTCCAATATTGCTTCGTAGATATCGCCGTAGAAGATGACACTACCGGTTAGATTGGATTGAATATCCGTCAGGGACTTCTTTAACTTCCTGTTATACTCTTGTGAATCTGAGTTTTCTTTGTCGATGCATCGTCTCTCGTTCTGTTTTTGTCTAGCAAACGTCATCTGTACCGGTAAACATCCTATCGGCGGTAGTCCCAGTACCATTATTTTCCGACACCCAATGTCATATAGTTCCTATATAACCCATATAACACACGTAATATGTTAAAAACATATATGAATATATTAATTAATTATAAGAAGTAAAACAATGCATAAGTATATGAAAGGATGTGTTGTTTTACTTGAACGAAGTTGTGTACACTCGAGAGAATGAAATCTTGATAACCTTCGACGCCGAGCTTGATACGAGGAGAAGGAGTATCATATAAATTTATATCAAAATCATTAGTTCCCGAGCTTACAATCACAAGAGCCTCACTGACTATCTTAGCCGCTTTCTCGTCCCCAACGATCCTGCTCAGCCTAGCCACGTAACTTCTGAACATGTCTACTTGTTTGTCTATGGATAGACTTAAAGTAGCGAGATCCGTGTAGTTGTCGTAACCTGAACCGGCCGAGGCAAAGCACACTCCGGTTAGAATGTCGGAATCCGACAAATGCGGGTCGAGGAAAGGAGGAACGGTGTCTTTGATTCCCATAAGGGATGCAATGAAGTCAGGGATGAGTCTACCGTTAGAGAATCTTCCCGTGGCGTGACGGCCGGGGAAGTTGCAGCCGTAAGGAGGGAAGTTAGCCCGGATGATTGTACTAATGTAGTTGTTGTTTCCGGTGTCGATTGTGGAGTCTCCGAACACAAGAATGGCTGGGAACATTGATGCGTTGTTGATAGTCTCGTTGGTGGGATCTGCATAGCATGTTGTTGATATTTGTATAGTTGTTATGATCATGATGAATAAAATTTCATGGATCAACATTTTTTTACTTTTGTTTCTCTCTTTTGGGATGTTTTTTTTTTGTCAAACTTTGAATTTCATAAAAATATGAGAGGTGTTTGTAACTTGTTACAAAAGAGCTATAGATAGTCTCTTTTGGGATGTTCTTGTTTCTTTATAGGACCATTGGGGGTCTACCATATGTTATCTGCCGTAGTAAACTAGTAATGTTGACGTTTCGGTCAAATCTCCCGTAAACGGTCTTACATCCATGCATGGGCCAATGAAACTAAAATGGGCTTCATATAAAACCATAAGAATATTGCGTGTTTGTAGTATATATATATACACTGTATTAGGTTAGAAATGAGGTTTAATTTGTTCTGTGTTATCCACACTGTGTATATATAACTGTATGTAAACTAATTTTTTTTTTTATGAAAGTAGTTAATTCTCAACAACCTAAACTCTCATGATCACTCCAATATAATTTTATAAAACGCTTGCATCGACATTCAATCAGAGAAAATACTAAGATTTATATAGTAGTTATATATGGAGATTGATATTGTAAGTATGATCAATAATAAGCCTTGCATGCACAAATCCTCTGAAACGTTAAACTATAGGTACATGGAAACTAACGAGATCATGTACAAAATTATATACCAATTAATATTTGTATATACATTAATTGTATGTGGTTGTTGATACTGATTTCTTGGTAGAATATCTCTTAAAGAAATTGATTCTCCGAAGTCCTAACACGAAAACTAGTCTGTAATTGAAGTACGTGCAGCGGGAGATCAATTAAGATTATTGCACACGAGGGTAAATCTAACCAAACGTGTGTTATAGGCTGGAAGTATCTACAGTATCTACACTAGAACTTTTAAATTAGTCCATTGGTTTGTCTTTATTCGATCAGGTACGTCCCCCCTAAAGCACCACTTTATACCATATTATATAATAATGTTTTCTATTGGTTACAACAATAAGAAAAAGAGTGGCTAAAAATCAAATCTTCCTCGGCTCTAGGAGAATAGTCTGTTGATAATGTCTTCCGTCTCTTACTAAATATATGTAAACTTTGTTTGCGAAGATGTTACCCCTATAACCATATTTTTTTTACATGCAACGTTCACACTTTCCAACTAACTAATGATGTACCTAACGTAATGGTTCATATTTCTGACCGTAAGAATAGTAGAACAAAGGGAAACATAAAAAAGTAGAATTAGAAGTTTGTAATGGAGACTTTGATTGAATTGACCATTTTGACCAAAAAAACAGCTATACATTTTCATGATATAAATTATAATTGCACACCAAATAATGACATTTGCATATCTTTGGATTCTTTTCGTTTTTAATTAACTAAGTGGTTTATGATCCACCGTGGAAGTAGTATAACTGTGGAGCAAGACAGGTTTGGATCACGTTCTTCAATTATGATCCCGTTAAACTCTTTTAAAGATTCATAAGAAAGACTATTCAGTCTTTAACACATTGTGGCGCACACACACATCGAGAATATCATTCGTATTTTAATTAAGTTTGCTACTCTCTGTAGACTAATCAATTAAGAAATTAATACTCTTGAAATATTTATCTTTTCCGTGTAAATCGTACGTCGTCGGTGCCCGAAACCTCCGTACGACGAAGCTTCATCTGTTATGTCGTTAATTCGTTTCCATGATTTATTTTCTGCAACAAGATTTTTTTCTGTTTATTTAATACATGCTCTTATTACGTTCTTGAGCGAGATAAGTGCCCACGTCCTCTTCTGAAGCTGCAGCTTTAAGACGAATTGTGACCAACTCAACCTCTAGGTTTAGGGGACTTTGCTGAAAAAAAACTTACTGTAGAGAAGTCTTTGTATAAATTTATTTCAGGAATAAGCTTGAAATTAAATGTTTCGGCCTTTCAGTTGTTTGTTTATTATATGATTTTCGATCGGAAGATAATTATGATATTAAAATAGAATTTTGGTGTTGATGTAAATATATACAGAAGCATGTATTGCATGCACAAACCGTATCATATGAACTTTTGGAAATTTTCAAAGATTTCCTATAGAAAGAGCGACAAAGTGCACTTTAATATCTGCATGCACTGACTATTATACTAAACTTTTAGGTATGTACACATTGTGAGAACCTGATTATTTCACATTAGGATCCTAACTTATAATTTACAGGCTGAGCTCCCTTTTCTAAACCAGTAAATATATCAGTTTTGGTAATAAGTTTATCCTCTTGTTTTCAAATGTCAAATTATTCAACTATATGTTGATGTGGTCCTGCGGATTACTTTGTTCCCTCTCTTGCTTAATCAAGTAAGCTTAATTGCTCACTGATCTCCGACACCAACGTGTCTTCATCTGTACTCTCTATAGTACTTAAGCCTTCGCAAGTTGTAGATACCTTAGTTAAGTACATATCAACGTACGGTTTTGACATTAATTAGTGTGAGCATAGTCATTAAAAGAAAATCTGTAAGAGAACAGAATAATTTAAGTAACTCAAATTTTTATATTACTATAAATTAGCATACTTAAATGATTCCTACATTTAACTAAGCTATTAAGATTTTAATCCTTTGAATAATAACTTAAGCAGAATACAAGCGAATAACATTTTTAAAAATAAAATATTTGTGACTGCATTGTACTATACTACTATTGTTTTGTCCTTCAAGACAACTGTTTTTAGTTCAGAAGTAAAAAAAATTCGTATCTATTTGTTTAATGTTAAATTCTTTCAACCGATGATTGCATGTGGAAACAATTTAGTATGGGATTCAACAATTGATGGAAATGGAACTATACACGGTATGAAATCTTGGAGAGATTGTTAAGCATTCTTAATTTACATTTCCAAAAGTGGTCTGAGCACTAATTAGAATATGTAGTTCTTAATATATTTAATATTATGTTCACACTGATTAAAAAATAAATAATTTTGTATATTTACTATATAAAAATATAATTATATATACATTTAATCATATTTTAATCAGTAGAAAGATCATTTACATAATAAAATTAATAAATTTTATTTTGAAAATTAAAAATGATATTTATTTTTATAACAAAAAAATTATAGTTACATTTAATATGAAACAGAGGTATATAGTAACAAGGATAAAGTTAACTAAGTAAACTAATGCATTGTTACTTCCAACATTGATATCAAATCCTACTTAAGTATATCGTACAGTACCATTTGATTTTAATAGATAATTTTCCAGTTTCCAAGTCTTTGGTCATTGTTTCACATTATTAGTTACGAGAAGTCTTTATAATCCCAACATGCTCCTAGTTTCAAGATTTGGTGTTATTCGAGAAAGAATACAAGAAAAAAGAAATAATCTATTCAAAGTTTGTCACATAGCTTCAGAAATATCTGTGCTCGATTATAGACATTTGGAGAACCATTGATTATTTAGATTACTAGTTAATAAATTTTCACCAGATCTAAGACTACTGAGTTGCAGATAGTGAACAAAAAATCACATGTCTATAATGCTAAATATAAAGTACTAGATTTAACGTTCCACCACTACTTAAACAACCACTACTTAAACAAGAGATGCGCATACACAATATATATATATATATAAATATATATAATACTGAAAAAACTATATATAAATGAAATAATAGTTACTGAGCTATATATAAAATTTATAAATAAATAAAAAATCCTTAGATTACATGTTATAGTCGATTTAATCTTCTAAATTTATCCTATTTTAAAAGGACTAGGATAGTGAGAAATGACATGTTTTATGAGGGTGGGTTTAGTTAATAACGAGATGACAAAAGGACAATTCAGTCATTTATTATACATGTTATCAAGTCCGCATTGTTGTTACGTGAAGTGTTGGCTCCTATATAACCTCGTCTTGTCCAACTAGTTCTTCCCCATAAATCTGATTATCAATCACAAAATATAAACACCTAAAAACAAAAATAAAGAGTTAGAGAGAGAGAGAGATGGGAAACAGCTTAAGGTGTTGTATAGCTTGTGTTCTTCCATGTGGAGCACTAGACTTAATCAGGATCGTTCATCTAAACGGCCACGTTCAGGAGATCACACGGTCAATAACCGCTGGAGAGATCCTCCAAGCAAACCCAAACCATGTCCTAAGCAAACCATGTTCACAAGGAGTTGTCCGTAAAATCTTGATCTTGTCTCCTGAATCCGAGCTTAAGAGAGGAAGTATCTACTTTCTCATCCCTGATTCTTCCTTGCCGGAGAAGAAAAGGAGGAGAAAAGAAAGTCATCGTCCCAAAAACAACCCTAGCGTTGACGCCCCTAAAGATGATGATCAATCTTTGAAGTTGTGTGAGAAGTACTTAGAAGAAGTTGTGTCATCAACTAGTAAAGAACACCGTCATCGCCGGCGGCATAGCAGATCGGCGTCAGTGTCCACGTGGCAGCCTCACCTTGACAGCATCTCTGAGGATCTTAATTAATTCCTCTTCACTTTATATATCTATTTTCTCATCTTCTAGCTAATGGTGTTTTTTTGTCCGGAAGCCGGATTTTTATTTCCGAGAGATCATTTTCTTTTCTCTTTTATTTTGTTTGGGGGAAAAATCTCACGAAAAAATATATAATGTGGATACAATCTGTTTTAAAATGTTGTTGTTTCGAGCCACTGAGAATGATTATATTTCAAACATTAATATATCTTAGAAACATGCAAAATATTGACTATGGTATATATGGCCTATGGCATATTGAATCGATGAACCAGCCTTGTTACAACTATATATTCAATGAATTTATGATAAAACGAAATAATCCGAAAAGTGTATACGATCGAATTAAAGACTGGAGAACGCATCAATGAAATGATTATGATTAAATGTGTTTTTAACAGAAAATATCACATTGAATGATTATACTTGATTATATTAAGTTAGGTAGTTATAAGATCATAACTAATAATGAAAGTTAGTGCGCAGGCTCACATGTAGGTGGACCAATCGAAAAACCTTTGAAACTGGGAGAACCATTTGCTCCTACTTCTTACTATAAACATCAATCATTTATTCCATCCGTTTCATAATAGATGTTTTGACATTTCTATATCAGTTGCTCAAAAAAAAAAAAGACATTTCTATATCAATTTTAATTTTATTGAAAATTGTATAACTAACTATAGATTATACAAATTCATTTATAATTGGTCACATTATTTTTATTTTATATTTTTCAAAATACTTAAAAAAGTATTTTTTTAAATCTTCGTGCTTTCTTGATGACGTATATAAACAACTTGTATATCAAACCTGTTCTAAAAAACAATCATTAAACAAAATGAAAATAACTTGTAATTCAAACCATACATGGGCAAGAAAGTATATAAATGATTATGCATTATAAAACAAAATGATCAATTTTATCTTCTCATCTCATGTACCATGAATTCTACCGGTAATAGCTTTGGTTTTCAATTTTAAGCTACCAATATTTAAAAAATCTATATACATGCGGCACCCAAAACTATATTATATATTCTAAAATTCGACTCATTTAAACATGTCAGATCCTAGTGCAGTTCCTATTGTTTGCAGCTATGGGTGTTGTATAAGGTCAAAATTACATATTAGTTGTTATTGGTTCAACGATTGAAATGGAATATGGATTAGTATATATATTTTTTTTTGAAACCCATATATGGATTAGTAATAAGTATATAGGTTTAATGCAACGACTCACTTATAGTTATAGCAGATACAAAATAATCTTTAAACATGAAATCTTAAGGAATACATGTATATTCATAATTAGAATCTGAAGTTCTTTACTGGAACAAACAGGTTGGAGATGTCTCCAACTACAAGTTAAGATATGTATAGATAAATGAAATTCTTGCAATAAAATATCAGATTCAAAACTTTATAATTGATTAAAAAGAGAAATGAAAGCTGGCAAGCCCATCTTCATCAGCTACCTTCACATGGTTTCCCTCTTCTATGCCCCATTCTAAGACATTTCATTGTTATCACTCTTTTCTTTTTCTTCTATTCTATTCCTCTCTATGGTCTACCAGACTACAATCTATAAATGTATATTGTGTATGAAACTATGCATACATTACTAAGTTTGGTCCAAACAGCCCATCTTCACCATACCGCATCAGTCATTAATGCTTTGTTGGTTTACCTTGGTAAATCAAAAATCACTTTCTATAACCTTTTATTTCAACTAAACTTTTTTTTTGTATTAAGTTGAGGGTTTTCTCTTGTTAGTTTTTGACTTTTTGTAATGGATATAAACGTACTGATGCAATCAGTATCTACCGCCAAAACTTTATGTAACTCATTTAATTGGACCAAGAATGATGAATATCGTTACATTTTAATAACCCACTCGTACTCGTTATTCCAATAATATATCTGACGCTACTCTCTCGCATGGAAGCATGACACGTCCATCTGGTTCTTTCCACATAACATCTTTGAGATCCCCACTTCATTTGAGAATAAAACGCTCGATCCCACTTTCATTTTCAAAATGAAAAAACCTGAAAGTTGGGAAATAAACTATGTTCTATAATATTAACCTGCTTACTTAACAAAACTGTGGTTATTATAAGTTTATAACAAACTGTGCTTAAAAATGCCCGTCACGAGCAAAAGAGTGATGATAATAAGATTGAAGCATTCGGTGTTTAGAACCTGCAAACAATAATATGATGAAAATGTGTATATGGACCGATCCTTTGTTTAGACACAACATATAATACTCCCTCTGTTTCATTTTATTTTTTTGTACAAAAATTAAGAAAACATTTAATTTCACATATTTTCAAAATAAAAACATAATTATCTATACACCTAATTACATTTCATCCAATAAAAAACATAAAAATATAAAAAATTAATAAATTTTGCATCAAAATGATAAAACGACACTTATTTTGAAACAACAAATTTTCTCTACAACGACATATAATAAACTGAAACGGAGGGAATAGTACAGGTCGATAGAAAAATGTAAAACGCTCCCAGGCGCTGTTTTCGAGGCGCTGTAAAGATTCAAAATTTTGAATCTCATCGTCCTCCTCCACCATGTCTGAAGCGTTGGAGCTTCTTGCCAGCTACTCTCACTTTCTATTTGACGATGTCGTCGGACTTCTCTTTTGGATCTGAGAAACCAAAGTCATAAAACGCTCCGATCTCCTGCCGCGCCTCCGTTTTCTCCTCGACACCTGCGTTTCCCTGCTGCACCTCAAGCCTTCATCTTTTTGCCTTACACCTGCATCTCACTCTCTATTTTGTAATCTTGGAGATATATAGTTGTGGGTTTTTGAGCGTGGGTGCTCAACTCCTTCACTATTTATAAAGTTCTTGAGAAGTGTGTTGTCCTCTCCAACTGGATCTGTGACGCCGGATCATCTCCCTCCTCCCCCGACGCTGTCACAAAATCAGTACGAAGCTCTCCTCTTGATACTGAGTTGGCTCCATCAAGATTTACTCAACAAATTTCGAAGACCATCAACGACGGCGTCTGGCGTATGCTGGCGTTTGTCCCTTTTACAAGATCTGTGTATCTTCATTAAATCTTTGGATCATATCAAGCTTGATCTTTTATCTCAAACAAGGGAGTGTGGAGACTAGTTCCTGAAAGATTGTTTATTTGCTTATCTCCTCGTCCATACCAGCTGTGAATCCTCTCAGTTTCTTATTAGACCTGAGCAGCATTACTTTGAGTTTGGAATTGGAGTTTGGAATTGGAGATTTTTTGTTTAAAAAATTCTCTAGCTACGTGCTAAGCATTTCACTGGTTACCAGTTATTAATTGTCTAGTTTTATTATAAAATCTTTTTGTGACAAACAGCTACTCCCACCAAGAAAATCCACGGAGGAACAAGAATCTGATTTAATCTTGGATAGGATCTACGTTGGTTATACAAGCTTTATCTATTGTCAAAGTCTATTAGGAAGCAAAAGCTCAACATTGGTTCAACAAAGGGTTATTACAAGGAGGAGTCTATCAGTGCTATAGACATTAATGTACCAAAGTTTGTTTAAGTATTTCACTTGCTACGGGGTTTTTAGTCTCTAGCACCTGGGCCAGTCCTTGCTACTATATTTACAACGACTTAAGAAGCAACCAAATTGTTAAAGATTTTCAACATATCAACAAGCAGCGGTTTTGGCTCATTATATCAATTTTTAATTGATATTAATGTGTCCAGTATACCTATACTTTTCTAAGGATTATTAATTTTGTAAGATGAATGTGGTGGCATGGAATTGTCAAGGTGTAGGAGCTGATTTGACGAAGGAACATCTTGACGAGTTATATCATTGTTTTCGACCAAAATTTTTATTTTTATCAGAAACAAAAAACAGTCGTGATGTTCTGCAAAATCTACAAGTTTCTTATGGGTATGATCAAGTTTATACCGTTGAGCCGCGTGGACGAAGCGGTGGCCTAGCACTTTTGTATATGGATGATCCTTCAGTTACCATCTTGTATGCGGATGTGCACATGATTGATATTGAAACCCGACTCGAAGGACATGCGATTTATATGACGTTTGTGTATGGTGACCCTGTTGTTAGACATCGCGACCAAGTTTGGGAACGATTGTCACGCATGAGTTCAACACGTAGTAAAGCATGGTTTATGGTTGGAGATTTTAATGAAATCACGGGAAACCATGAGAAGAGGGGAGGAAGACGTCGTTTAGAGAGCTCTTTTCTCCCTTTCCGAACCATGTTAGAAAATTGTGGAATGCTTGACTTCCCATACAAAGGGAACTCATTCTCGTGGGTGGGAAAAAGACGATCTGGAAAAGTTAAATGTAAACTTGATAGAGCAGTGGCAAATGAAGAATGGCATGCTTTATTTACCCATTCAGTTGTAGAATTCCTACAATTATGGGGATCAGACCACAGGCCAGTTCTAGCACGGATTCAATCTTGTATTAGGAGGACAAGAAAGAATTTCAGATTCGACAAAAGATGGATCGGTAAACCGGGGTTCAAGGAAGCGGTAATCTCGGGATGGGGACAATTTGATGAATTTCCAGTGAGGAATTTTCATCAAAAAGTTACCTCATGTCGTAATAGAATTAGTTCATGGAAGAAGCAAAACCCAACAAATTCCGCTACACTAATTAAAGAATTAAAAGATAAGATCGACTTGGCACAAGAGGATGATAATTCTACGACAGAAGAGCTGGAGGATTTACGAAGACAGTTAATTTTGGCTTTTAAAGAAGAAAATACGTTTTGGGAACAAAAAAGTAGGAACCAGTGGCATAAATATGGGGACATAAACACAAAATTCCACCATGCCACCACAAAACAACGAAGAGCCCAGAACCGAATCATCAGTATTAAAGATAAGCATGGAAAGTTGGTAGAGAGTGAAATCGAGGTAGAGAACGTGGCTGTTCAATATTTTCGTGATCTCTTCTCTACTTCTTTGCCAACAGAGATAGATAGTTCCCTCCGTTTTATTTCAGAAAAGGTGTCTCAAGCCGACAATAGGTTACTCTTAGAGAAACCGTCGGAACATGAAATTAGGAAAGCTCTTTTTGAGATTAACCCGGACAAAGCACCGGGACCGGATGGCATGACTAGTAAATTATTTCAGAGATTCTGGCGAGAGATGCGTCAAGACATTATTAGATTTGTACAAGATTTCTTCGAGACAGGCTTTCTTGACCCTTTGTTGAACCAGACAAATATTTGTCTCATCCCTAAGAAGAAGAAACCTCGGGATATGACCGAGTTCAGACCTATTAGTCTCTGTAATGTTAGCTATAAGATTATATCTAAGCTATTATGCAAGAGACTAAAGAGAGTTATACCACGCTTGATCTCAGAGACTCAATCAGCTTTTGTGGAAAAACGTTTGATTACTGATAACATCCTGATAGCACAAGAGAATTTCCATGCACTACGGACAAATAACAGATGTAGGGAAGACTTTATGGCTATTAAAACAGACATGAGCAAAGCCTATGACAGAGTGGAATGGAGTTTCATAGCAGCCTTGATGCTGAAGATGGGATTTGATGAAAGACTGGTTGACCTCATTATGTGTTGTGTCACGTCGGTCTCATATCAAGTCCTTGTCAATGGGCAACCGAGAGGGCGAATTGTACCAAAGAGGGGGCTGAGGCAGGGAGACCCCCTCTCTCCATTTTTGTTCATTTTGTGCACGGAAGCTTTGATATCACTCCTTAACGGAGCAGAAGCGGAGAAGAAGATTGTGGGTCTTCGCGTCGCCCAGGCGAGCCCGAGAATCTCCCATTTACTCTTCGCTGATGATAGTCTTTTCTTTTGTGAGGCGAAAGTGAGCCAGTGCAATGAGATTATGGATATTATAGACTTATATGGGAAAGCATCAGGACAAAAGTTAAATGCGGCGAAATCTTCGATGTTCTTTGGAAACAGAGTGGACTACCCTCGGAAACAAGAAATAAAAGCAGCACTGGGATTCTCTACTGAAGGAGGCATGGGAACGTACCTTGGATTACCTGAACAAATTGGTGGCTCGAAAACCAAAGTATTCTCCTACGTACAAGATCGACTTAATGGGCGAGTTAATAATTGGTCATCCAGATTACTCTCGAAAGGAGGGAAAGAAGTTCAGATTAAAGCGGTGGTTCAAGCAGTTCCGACATACCCAATGTCTTGTTACTTGATTCCACAAGGCATTACTGATAAACTAAGGAGTACGACCTCTAATTTTTGGTGGAGTTCGAAACAGAACAGCAGAGGTTTGCATTGGATAGCATGGGACGAGATCTGTACCCCCAAGGATTTGGGAGGACTAGGTTTCCGAGATCTCCATGACTTCAACATAGCACTTCTTGCAAAACAATTATGGCGTTTGATCCAGTACCCAAATTCTTTACTGGCACGTACCCTAAGAGGAAGATATTACAACAATACTTCCCCCTTGGAGGAGCGACGGACATACTCGCCTTCATATGGTTGGCGTAGTATCATGGCAGCGAGACCTTTACTCATGTTAGGGTTACGGAGAACAATCGGAACGGGCCGCGATACGCGGGTTTGGACCGATCCTTGGGTTCCTGACTCAGTGGCCCGACCACCTAGACCTGCCGACCACATTGTTTACAGACTTCCCCAACTCCCTGTTCAGGCCTTTATTAGGAATGATACCAAGGAGTGGGATACCCAACTTTTACGGGAATTCTTTCAGCCAGATGATATTCCGCTGATACTTGGGATTAGACCTTCCCGCTCTTCAGCTCTAGATGGATATGTTTGGAATCACACAAAGACAGGAGTTTATTCAGTAAAAACCGGGTATAACTTACTTCAATTGAGCAAAACAAGCCTTATACATGATATGGTTCTCGAACCAAGTGTCAAAGGCCTCCAGAGTCATGTATGGAAGTTAAAGGCTCCAAGTAAGATGAAACACTTTTTGTGGCAAGCTATTTCGGGCTGTGTGCCGACAGCAGAGAGGCTAACTTATAGACACCTGGGCACCGATAGGAGTTGTCCTAGATGTGCTGGCCCAGTGGAGTCGATTAACCATCTCCTTTTTGAGTGTCCTCCTGCAATGCAGGTCTGGGCTTTATCGGACTATCTGTCCATTCCGGGTGACTTCCCGAGTATATCTATCTACCAAAACTTGAACTTTCTGTTTTGGAAGCGAAAAGAAGTGGCTCCTCAGAGTCCACAATTCGACACATTCCCATGGATCTGCTGGTACATTTGGAAGGCAAGGAACGACAAACTCTTTAATGGGAAAGAGGTATCTCCTATGGACACTCTCCAACATGCGTCTCTTGAGGCAGAATGTTGGAGGAAAGCAAATGAGAAGGACGAAGTAATTGAGGACCATGTGTATCATGAGGTACCTTATAGTTCAGAGGCCCCTACGATCCCCCAAATCCCTACATGCCAAATTGATGCATCATGGATCGATAATGGTAGTGTAAGTGGCTTAGGGTGGAGTCTTAAGGATCAAATGGGTTCTGAATGGATCGGACTACGGGCGTGTAGGAGGAGGCTATCAGCTCTGCATGCTGAGATGGAAGGCCTACTGTGGGCAGTCTCATGTATGAGAGATTTGAGGATGACTTCGATACGGATTGAGACGGACTGTTCGGACCTAGTGGACATGTCTACTAGACCGGAGGACTGGCCGGCTTTCGCGACAGAGATCGAGATGTTTCAGCGACTACGGGAGGATTTCGTGGATGTGAGTTTGTCTCATATTCCACGGGATAGAAATGGACGAGCGGATGCATTGGCTAAGGAAGCAAGGAGTAGAGGTTTTTCATTTTCCCATATAGATCAGACCCGGCCAGACGGAGTTTCTCCTTGGAGAACCGACTCGACTGGTCACCACTTGATCTAGTGCAAATGGGCGGCCGACAAAAAAAAAAAAAAAAAAAAAAAAAAAAAAAAAAAAAAACTGAAACGGAGGGAGTATATGTTTTATAATATATACATAGCCTGTGATTTCAGTTTTCTTTTTTGGTTTATTCAGATCAGGTATTTTTAGTTTTAATTAGTTTGGTTTAATCATATTTCAACCGAAATGAACTAAAAATTTTGGTTTTTAAAATTTTATCGAAATAACCAAATTATAAAATGATTTCAGTTGGCTTCATTTTTTTTTTTTTTTAAAAGCAGATAGTTTTGGTTAAATTTGGCTATTTTGGTTAATTTTAGATGATTCAGTTATTACTATTATATTTTTTTAATCAAAATATTTTCAAAAAAAATCCAAACTAAACCGAACTCAAAACCAGAACAAGCTAAAAACCAAAAGTTTTGGTTCGATGCGCTGATTCGGTTAGGTTTAAATCTGCATGGCTATTAATACCTTTTCGTCTCTCCACATGACAGAAGTGTAGATCTCGATAACTCCTTGGCAACACATCAAAAACGCCAAAGAAAGTGAGTCTCCAATCTCTATGTTGCAATACGCCGAAGCAGCTGCGGTTCCAACGAACTTGCAGATGTAGGTAATCATGAGGATCACAGCTTCAATGATCTTCACGTGGTTTTGCTCAATCACAAAGAAGTTGGTCTGCAAACCACTAATGGCGATGAAACACGGGAGCATAAGACTCGATGCATACATCTCGAGCTTTGTCGTGAGCCCTGTCCCCAATGGAGGTCCATCAGGGAGCTATACACCGAGCCAGAACGCTCCAAACGCTGCATGGACGCCAAGAACTTCAGAGACCAAGCTTATCACCAACAAGACCATTATGATCGGGAAGAACGGTATATCATCTGTTTTATCAATCGAAACGCTTCTTCTCTCGGTTAACCATATGATTAACGGTCTACAGATGAAGAAAATAGAGAAGAGAAGAGATGTGACCCAAAAGAAAGACCAAACACTAGCGAGTAGTGTCCCGTCCCGAAAGAACATTCTGAAAATGAGTGCTACCACCCAGCTAAAAGCCTCACAGACAATGAATAGTCTAAAATTATTACCAAGACTTGAGAAGAGATCATGCCTTGCTTTAAGGGCTTGAGGAGGCGAAAGAGAAGCCTTGAGGTGATGATAATGGCTGCCATTTGCAGCAAGAGAAGTGGCATAGAGTATTTGAGAGGGTCACTGCCGAAGAAAACTCCCTTTGATGTTAACATATGGTTTGTTTGGCACACAAGCTTTTCGAAGAAGAAAGGGCCATGAACTTTGCCACTCTGCATCGAGTTGCCCTCGTTCAGGTCTAGCCTTGACATGGCTAGAATCTTTCTTGTGCACGCCGAAGGCAAGAACTGAAAGTGGGGAGAGGAAACTAAGATGGGAATCTCTTAGTGAGATGATGGACAAAAACAGAGGACTCTGTTTTTTGTTTGTTTGTTTATGTTGCTTTCTAGGTTCAAAAGATCAAAGAGGAAAGGGAAGTGTGAGAAACTAAGAGAGAGAGAGAAAGATGAAGCCCACATTTGTTGCTTCTATTTATGGACTCTTGACTATTTTTTGGTTGGTTGATGTTAATAATAATACATAATCTCTAACAATTATAAATTCTGTGGTTTTAATTTCCCTGAGGTCCTAACCACTCTTCCATCTCATCACACATTCTAGTCTAAAGCTCCTAGATCATTCAACCTACTAACTCACTTTGAACCAAATTAAAGTCAATGGATTATAACGTTACACATGTGTATAACGTTATTTTAAAGCCAAATCATAACGTGCATAATATAATGAATAGTCAAAACCGTTGAATGCTAAATATCTATATATGATGTATTAGACCTATGAAGTATTCATGGCATAGTGGTCCAGTCCAGTGGAGTGGGTTCGTTTCCCACCTGTACCAAAAAACAACGAAGGCAGTCTATGGTCGTGGTGATCAGACAGAAAGTAAAGGTGTTGGAGTTGGTCGTAGAGGGAGAGTAAGCACTGAAGATGTGTGTTCATGAAGAAAAAAATTTCCCAGAGTTGAAGGAGATAGGAAGAACACGCCACTAACGCCAGCAGTGTTGAAGTGAGAGCTGGTGGATGATTCTTAGAGTTTGATTCATTTTTGTACACAAGAAGATAATGAAGGTGTAGAATTACATTCCGAAAGCAAAATCGAATAAGTACCAAGAACCGTTGACGATGGTGTAAGAGTCACGGGCAATGGTTCTCCGTGAAGATACCAAGAACATAGTTTGTCCATAAACCAGATTTTTTTTTCATACAAATGTATTATTTAAAACATATTTATTATAGATGGATTACAAACAAAAACAAAACATTCATAGATAAAATATTTATTTTCTTAACAATAGACACTAAAGCAGAATCATAAAAAATTACAAGAAAAACAACAATAAAATAAAAAAAAAGAAAGATTTTAACTTATTAAGTGTCTTAATCATAAACATCAATTAGATTATTTAGGGTTTTTAATCCAAGGAAACGTTAACTTTGCTGGTTTGATTCTGTTTCTTTGAGAGTAAACTCCATCACTTCTTGCAATCCATTCATGAACCTGTCCACAAGGATGTTCATCAGTTCCTATGTATGCTTCAAAGTCTCGAGAAGAATTCTCCATCCACAACCCTTGTCTCAAAACACAAATCACTTTTATCCTTTCTATTATCCTACTTCCAGGTGCTGCAGAATTGCCGCCGGCGAATTCAAAAATCCTTTGTTCTTTGAATTTTAAAAACTTGGCGCCTTCATTATTTCTAAAATAACGACAATGATACTGTAGACTTCTAGCAGGACCAAGTTCATTTCGAATAATTAGTTGGTTCTTCGGGCACTTAAAAACTGCTTCACTCACCCCTAGAAGCATAGCAATAATCAACATAAATATTATAAGAATATTCATTTTTCGGAGTAAAGGCATCAACATGTAGTTTTATAATTCCTTTAACAGTCTTTGATTACATATATAAGCTTTTATTTCTTTCATTAGCCAAATATAGACCAACTAATCTTCTGGCAAGGAGGGGATTTTGCGTCGAAAAGTATGGTTGATAATTTGAAAAAGCAACTTTACAAATTTAGCTAAGTAGAACTGTAGAAGACATCAGCAATGCTATTTGAAATGTTTTTTTTTTTTTTTTTACATCAACAATGCTATAAGTCTAGCATCTAGCAAATCTTTTGCAAGTGAATTATTATAATACTGTTCAAAAATATTTTGAACAAGTAGTAAATATTTTTTATCCATAGAAACACGTAAGTATCATATCATATGTAACCTTACAATGAACCAAAAAATAGAAAAATGTTTGGTATCTACATAAGAGTACTGGATAATGTAGCAAAACTCTCAGAAACGTGTCTTTTTTTAACCCAGAAATGTGTCAAAACTACAATAATTCTTCTTAATGCATGGGTTTATACAAAAAAAAAATTAAAATATGTTAACAACTATTTAAAATCATTTTTGGACCAAATCAGTTTTTGAAAATAAATTAGACCCACAACCAGAAACGATCCAAATTATACATATGATCCGATCCTCCTTTCTATTTCATCTTGAATTCACAATTATAATTTTACCTAATGCCCATAGTAGTTACGGCTGGGCATTTTATCCGTTAAATTTGATTCGATTTGTTATTCGTTTCGATTCGATCTGAAAATTCTGAATATCCGTAAATTTCACTTCTTGGCGAAAGATACAAGCATTGGATTCTGTGGAATGATCTTGAAACTTGGAAGAGCCTGCACAGCCATAGAAGACTGAACATCATCTTCGTACTCCACAAGCGCAATTCCATTTCTGATCTCCTTGAATCCAGGGTATTGTATAAAGAACAGCTGAAGCATCACGCTAGTCGTCTCAACGGGAAGAGTCTGGATGAAAAGCACTTCTTCCATTTCAATTTAATTGTTGTTGTTGAATAAAATTTTTGTTTTAAAATAAGTGTCATTTTAAAACGACAAGTAAATTGAAACGGAGGGACTATATCGTTTGCTGGCTCAGTGACTTGCCCGCTATGTTGGACCGATATAATTTAAGCCTATTAAGTGTTTTGTGTATTGACATTTTTAACTAATATAATTTTAATAAACATAATTATATTTTGTTAAAAAATTTAATTTACCATTAAATAATGCATTGAAATGTAAAAGCTACATTACTGAATTTGTTTTCTAAAACGTGAATCTTTTGATTCTATACAACTCACCATTACTGAGATAAAATATAACGACAAAAATTCACACTATGTTGTATTCTACAACTCTCCATTAATGAAATCAGGTGGAAACAACTTAGTTAAAGTCAATGGATTATAACGTTACACATGTGTATAACGTTATTTTAAAGCCAGATCATAACGTGCATATAATAATGGTAGTCAAAACCGTTTTCAAATATAATTAAGAGTTGTTCCTTGCTGCATATATAGATGTGTTACCCCCCTGATTTCGTTTCAGGTTTGATACAAAAACCAAACATGAGTCTTAGTTCCGATATAAAAGTTAACGAGAGTGTGGATGAGAAGCTGAAGGTTTTTGAGGACATCTCGTTAAATGCTAAGCAAATTCAAGACAACGTATTGAAAGAGATACTCACACTTAACGCAAACACTGAGTACCTACGAAGTTTCCTCAATGGGATCTCCGATAAAGAGCTTTTCAAGAAGAAGGTACCATTAGTGACATATGAAGATGTTAAGCCTTACATTGAACGTGTCGCGGATGGTGAGTCTTGTGATCTTCTATCAGGGAAACCCATTACTGGATTCCTCCAAAGGTAATATATACATGTGTGTGTATTATGTTTCTTGGTTATTTTCCCCTTTTAGAAATCAATATCGTCGCAATAAGCGAGTTGATATACTCGTATTTGATTTGATATATAGTTCTGGAACATCGGGAGAAAAAGGGAAGTTATTCCCTTTGGACAACAAATTCGTTGAGAACCTAATGTTCATGATACAGACATGCTCCTTCTTAAGGCGCAAGTAAGTGTACATACTTCCTTATTCCCTCTGTTTTAAATAGATTTCATGTTCTAGAAAAAACTTGAATTTCAACAAGATACATTTTTTTGTATTTTTAATGTACTTAATAATGGTAAATTGTAAATGTTTAAAAAAATAATTATATTTTTTAAAAATTTATTAGTTAAAAATTAGGAAAATTAGGGAATAGTTAATTACAAAACTAGTGTAGTGATAACTTAAACTTCATAAATTTTCTTAACAAATGTTAAAATGGTAAAACATGAAACATTTTGAAACAGAAAAAGTACTATTTTAATTACTGAACTTCAGAAAGACAAGAAGATTGTTATGTAACATGACCGTCTTTTAGCCTGAGCAAATAGAACACTAAAACATGATGCTGAATCTAAGAAAGAGAGTTTTATTAAAAATTTAGAGATTAGGGTCTAAAACTTTAAAAATAGATATACTTCTAAATTTAGAGCTAAAAATTTCCAAAAAAAAACTTTCAACATATATTGATGAGTTATTAACTTTTAAAGCTAATTCATTACATCGCTACAGTTAATATTTTTTGTACATAACATATAAATAGTTTGAAACGGCACTGTTATCGTAACTATTGTGATCTCCTTCTCTTGTTTGTATAGGCATGTTGGCGGTACCGTGCATGGAAAGCAGTTGGCATTTCATTTCACCAAACCAGAATCCACAACTCCCTCTGGTTTACCATATTCATCGCTGAGTACAACCTTCTTAACTAGTGACTATTTCAAAAACCGGCCACCAAACAATGTTTTCTCCTTGACAAGTCCTGACCAAGTCATATTTTGCCCAGACAACATTCAAAGTATGTACTGTCATCTTCTCTGTGGACTTGTCCAAAGAGATGAGGTTGTGAGTGTGACTGCTACTTTTGCCTCTGTATTGGTCCGTGCCATTATATTTCTTGAAAATAACTGGAAGGAGTTGTGTAGCAATATCCGGTCAGGTCAGCTAAGCAACTGGATTAAAGACCCTATTTGCAGGAGATCTGTCTCTCTGATCCTTGGAGGACCTAATCTTGAACTGGCTGATTTGATCGAACAAGAATGTAACCAGACATCATGGAAAGGTATCATTACAAGAATATGGCCTAACACCAAATATATTATAAGTATTGTTACAGGTCAGATGGCTCACTATGTTCCTACACTAGACTTCTACTCCAATAAGCTGCCTTTGATTTCTCCCTTTTATGCTTCTTCTGAAACTATGTTTGGAGTCAATGTGAATCCTCTATGCAAACCACTGGATGTATCCTACACTTTCATGCCTAATGTGTCGTATTTCGAGTTCTTGCTTGTTGATGAAGTAAACAAGGTTGAAATTGTTGATCTTGTGGACGTGAAGCTAGGGTTCTACTATGAGCCACTGGTCACAAATTATGCTGGTGAGTTTTGTATATTTTTGGTAACAAAACATATTATGAATATATATATATATATATATATATATATATATATATATATATATATCATAATTAATTAATAAATGTTTTTTTGTGAGTTTTTTCTTTGTTAGGTTTATATAGATATAGAATGGGGGATATTCTGCAAGTGACTGGATTCTACAACAACACACCTCAGTTTAAATTTGTCCAAAGAAGAAGTGTGGCTCTGAGTGTTCACTTAGAGACAACAACAGAAGAACAGATTCTTAAGGCAATGACTAACGCAAGAAACGTTCTTGAATCTTCAGATTTGATGTTGATCGAGTTCACATGCGTTGCTGATACCTCCAGTGATCCTGGCCACTACGTTTTTTACTGGGAACTCAAGTCCAAAACCAAAACCGCTGACCCTGAGCTAGATAATGAGCTTCTGGTTGAGTGTTGCAATGTAGTAGAGAAGTCTCTAGACAATGTTTACTGGAATTATCGAAGTAAGGATGGACGAATTGGAGCTTTGGAGATAAGAGTGGTGAAACAAGGAACGTTTGATTCAATCATGGACATTTACATCTCTCGAGGTGCTACAATAACTCAGTACAAAACACCTATATGCATGAAATCTGATGAGGCCTTGACGGTTCTTGAACGTAGTGTTCTTGTTCGAGTTTTTAGCAACACTTCAGAACCTTCTCTCCACTCTTAACCTTCTTATGTGTGTTCAGACTCCAAGACTTTGTTACAGTCTTTATATTTCATATGCAACATGCTATATCCATAAAAACATATGCAATAAAAACTTCAAGATGGTGATTTAATTTTTATTTGATGTTTTTTTTTTAATTTTGGTTTCCCAGACCAAATCAAGCTTGAGTAATAAAATATTTTTTTGATTGTTAAGAAAAAAAAAAGAGAATTTCAAGATCATTGTTCTCACCTTTCACTTGGTGTAAAGCCATTGAATAAAGATAGATAAAAACCCATTTAGATCATGTTTAAGCGTCATTGTTGCTTGGAAACAAGTCTGTGCAGAGCTCTCCATAGAACCTAGTCACCAGCTCAATGAAGATAGGATTGTTAAGATGATTCCAATGATAGAGAACCTCTTCCATGTCCATCACGTCATCAAACTTCCCTTCTTCAACGAACACATGGATCATATAGTCCTCGAACCTTCTGCAAGCCTCTTTCACATCATCTCCCTCTCTTATAATCGTCCTTCTTGTATTGTTTCTTTGATTCATAGCCAATGTAAACACCTTTCTTGAAGGCAGAAGGTTCTGATCATCGACCACACTAGCTGCATCAATGGCATTATATAACTAAATTAAAATTAAATAACTGAGATATAGTAAGTAACAAAGGTTTTTTTTTTTTTGGTTACATGAGGAGCTTCTAGGTGTGATCTGGCTCATCCTCTGCTCATTGTTAGTACTGAGGAAACAAAGACAAGACAACAAAGTAGTAGAAGAAGAAGATTGTGTGGTGCTGACATTGCGGAATCGGGCCTTGAAGAAGGAGATGAACCGGTTGTGTGATTTTGAAATCTTTAGTTTCAGTTTTATGAAACTTGACTTCAATCTCATTCTCAACCGTTCCAACTCAACTTGTTTTGTTTTTTTGGCTGATGTAGGAGTTTTGGTAGGAGGGGGTGTTTGTGTTTACGTGGGTTTCACGTCTTTGCATTAGAAGTCATGATGATGGTGGTGTTCCATGAACTTTCAAACCCCTTGTTTAATTTTATTGTTTTTGGTTAGTTTATGTGGGGTAAATGTTAGTTTAATCGTAAGCTGCATTAATCTTATTAGTTTTCGGTTAGTTTAATCGTAAGCTGCATTAATCTGAGTACTTATTGTCACATTGTAAGTAGATCAAAGTCTGTCTTTGATTATCAATATATAATTTTGATTTATGATCTCAATTGTTTCAAACGCAAACTTACATTTGTGTTTAGGTTTATTGTGTTCTTTAGTAAAAGTTCACTTAGTAGAATATTCAAACTCAACTTGTCATTGGTTAATCTTCACTTTGTAACATATTTGAAAGACAACTTTAGAGTAACTTTTAAGCAAAACAAAAAAAAAAACTTTAGAGTAATTTATATTATTATTACTTTAGTAAAATCTGTACAACATTTTTTTGGGTCAACATCTGTACAACATCTATGAAAAAGAAAACCAAACAATTTTAACTTTCTGAAAGTTTATGTACGAGTCGTTGACAAATTTTAAAGTTTTGAAAAGCATGAAGAGAGAGCACACGTATGACGTATCAGTTGATGAGACCATAAGTTTATATTTAGACATCGTATTGGTCCGCCGAGTTTTATGCAAAACTGTCTCTTCTTCTTATTCTTCTCTACAGTATTTTTACATCATTATTATTATATAATGACATTGGCTAAAAAGAGATTGGACATCAACCTGAAATATTGTTTAACCTCTTTTGTTGAATCGCTTTGTCACGTTCACCGAATCATGTTTTGGAATTAACGTACCAGAAATATTCTGTATATACTGTTATACCACTAATCGACATAACTACTACCAGTGACAAAATTTGAGGACGACGACGACATCAAAAATGATTCTTTAGACAACTTTCCAATTAAAATAAATAGTGAGATTCTTTAGATTCATCCATTGTGGAAGTCAGATAGTTCGTGGTTGTTGACGTTCATAATGACGAATTTTTTTTTTCACGTATGAACGCAAATACATAAAAATAAATTAATTTGCGTGGTATAATGGTTGAATGGGTTCGTATATATCCGACATAACTCTATATTCTACTTCAAAATATAGTAAAAGTGATTATGAAATAAAAAAAATACTCAAACTTCACACTATTTTTTATTTCATAATGAAGTTTACTTCATAAATTTATAAATAGAGTAACATTTTTCTTGTTTATTCATTATTTTATTTTGGAATTAAAAATGAAGTGAAGTTATAATATTTTTACTTCATAATCACTTTTGATCTATTTTAAAGTAGAATATGAAATTTTACATTGAAGATGCTCTAGGAACAGAACAAATATCTTTATATATTGATTTCAACTGGTGTTTGCCATTGTTGATTCTACAATTCGTATCCAGCTATTTCACAAGCATGAGAGAGACTAATAGTCTTAACTTCGGCTGAAATCATTGGTAAAAATATAACAAAAAATTGAGTTTAACTAATTTGAAACCCTAGGTGTCTGCACTTCCATTTTAAAATTAGGTTTTGGGTTTTCATTCTATTAGAATATCATTAACAGGGAAGTTATTTTCCTGTCTCATAATACAACAATAACATTAGTGTGTTAGATAATAAACTTTAAATAAATATATAAATTGACCGTTCATTACATGACACATCTAATAGGAGCCTCTCATCAATCTTGCAAAGTTTTAACAGAGAAATGGTTCTTTCCTCACATCCCTTTATAAATACCGAGAAACTTAGTCAGATACTGTTTATTAAAGATAATCTTAAGTTCTGGTTAAGCATATATGTTCGGTTGGTTTGATTAAATTTCTTTTGAGTATTCAGATATAATACATCATCTTTTTTGGTATTTATGAATAATGATTTGATTTTGGTTCAATTCTTTCATTTTTTTAGTTCAGATAATAAAACTGAGAAGTGGTTAATATTCCATAACTTTTGTATTGTGGATAAACAAAATACTTAGGGCACTCCCATCAACAAACTCCACCAATCTAGATTCTCAATATACATTTTTGATTATTTTAATTTTTTTTCGTTTGAAAAAATTAATAGACAAACTAATCGCGAACCGCCACATTACGTGGGACCCACAGAACAGTGTTGATATGGTTTCATAGCGAAGAGCTTTTGTGATACAGATTCATAACAAAAGATTTTCTATATATATTTTTTTTTTGAGAATTCTTTGAACCCTCCTCTTGATACTCCAATGGAGGCGATCTTAGAGCATCTCTAAACCTATTTACTTTTCCATTCTAAATCTTATTTTACACTAAAAATATTTTAATTTAATTTAATTTACAATTCCATAATGAAGTTATACATGGATTTATTCCAAAAAAATATTTTTGTATGTCCTTTTATCTCTAACTCTAAAATGAAATAGGATTGTAATAGGATGTAGTTCAGTTTTCCAATAAAAAATAGAGTAATACATTGCAGATAGAACATAATTTACTTGAATTTGGTTTAGTTTAACTCTGTTAATTCGGGTTAGGTAGAAAAACGATCATTTGGTGCAAACAACAGACATTCTACGAACGAGGTGGACCCTACTTTTGTTCTTACATTGTCACTTTCAAATCCTCACTTTCTTCTCTTCTGTTCTTTTTATCTTTTTTTTTTGGTAATCTCTGTTCTTTTTATCTTTCACATAGATACTCTTCAACTTCTAAAAACTCTATAGATTCTCTCTCTCTTTTCGACGAGAAGATCACACCCTTTTGATAAGACTCATGAGGAACTATAAGTTCAAAATTTCAGCTATGTTCCCAAGTCAATGGTTCCAGAAGCTCAAGAACATGACCAAATCCAGAAAAAAACACCCTCTGCCTTCTTGTTCCTTAAACACTACCAAGAAAACAAAAACTTCCTCTGAGTCTATTAAGTCTCTTCCTCACTCTTCAAGACCTTACTTCTCCAGTAGATCACACACTTCCTTAGAATCTAAGAAGATTCTTCATTGTAACTCACCAAGAAACTCTCTTCACGTGATAGAGAGCAAAAGAAAGACTGTTTACAAGCCATCTCCTCCTTCTTCTTCTGTCTCTGCAGGCTTTAACAAGAAGAAGATTAACTTTCTTCCGACCCAAGATTCTTCTTCCTCTTCTGCTTCTTCCAACGTCAACGACATGAGTAATAGAGATTTCAAGAAGAGAATGTTAAAAGAGATGAAGGTGTTTGACACAAAAGAGAAAGCCTGTCCTGCAAGTAACCGAACCAAGGCAGTCCGTACTCCCCATCATCTATCTCTGAAGATCAAAAATAAAGAAGAAGCACGTAGAAACCAAAAGAAACATCAAAGAACATCAGGAAGAAGATCATCAGCAAACTCTCCTAGGATAAAACTCAAAGTGAGTTCTCCTAGAGTGCAAGTCTCAGCGCGTAGAAGCAAATCGAGATCGCAGAGCAAACAAGTTCTTGACAGTGTCGCAGTGATCAAGAGCTCTCTTGATCCGAAGAAAGATTTCAGAGAGTCAATGGTGGAGATGATAGAAGAGAACAACATCAGAGCTTCACAAGACTTAAGGGAACTGCTAGCTTGTTACCTTTCATTGAATCCTAAGGAGTATCATGATCTTATCCTTGAGGTTTTTGTTCAAGTGTGGCTTGAAGTCATAAACTCTAAAGTTTCATCCAAGTAGAAAAAATGTTACTGTTGTTAGCTATAATTAACTTCTGAATAGTTTATGAAGAAAAAATGAGCAGAAGGATTAATTATCTCATAAAATAACTTTGTTATTAAAGAGTGTTATATAAAGAGTGTTTTAGTGTTTAAAAAAATAATATCAAGAGTGTTTTAACTTGTGTGGACATTATCTTTGCAAGGCAGTTCTGTGTTTTGTCTGTTTAACGTGATAAAGATAGATACATCACTCGCTTTCTGGTCTATGGTTGTGATGTGATGTGTGAACATATGAACATACACTTATTCATAATTAAGCATTTTAACCAAACCAGCAACAAGTCCACAATCTTACGAGTCTCTACCAAAACAGAAAATCTATTTAAAACAGAACGACTGTTTGCTCTTTTTTAACGTTAAAAAGCAATTTAAAGTATTTTAGAAATGAATTATAAATCAAGAGTAAATGATACTCCATCCATTCCAAAATTTTGCTTTTAAAAAAATACATTTTTATATTTCCGGTACATGTTTTATCAACTAATAGTGAGTAATTATAAACTTCAAAATATTAATTGTATTAACTAAATTTTTATTGGTTTATAATTATGAAATAAGTAGTCCAAAAGAAGAATTATGAAATAAGTAACTAGAAAAATTCTACATTTATAGTTAAATTTAGTATACTTTATTTGTGTGAAACCTCTAAAATATGGATTATTAAGAAACAAAGGGAGTTTGTTTGTTACTACCAATTTCTTTAACATTGTAAGAGAAAAGACAAACAAAAAGCAGTAGCTAACTGTAGTAAGATTGACCTTTTGGATTATATTAGGATTATGTTTAGCCATTAATTTCAATATTGTAGAGGAATGGCAATCAGAATAGCCCACCCCAAAGCCAAGAGTGTAGTGACAAGAAGCACACGGGGACAAGTCAGAAAGCCATCAAGTACCAAGTAGCGATGGGTTCCTGTCCTAATGATAAATGAAGCAGGAAACACGAAAATGGAACCTGAAGAAGAGATAATCGCTAGAGAGAGAAAGATAAACAGACACAGGAAAAGATATGATTAAAGAGGAAAAGCAGAGAGAAAATTTCAAAACCTAGAGGTATTGTTGTGATGAAAAAGAAGATGGAGGAAGGACCACTGTGTTGTTGCTGCTGTTTCCCAATGCCCATCTCCTACCTCTCCTCATACAGTTAGTACAGTTTGGCAAAATTTTTGGAATGATGTTTGTTAGGTTTAGTCAAGCCAAGTCAAGCAGATTCACTAGATTTTATCATCATCACATGCACAAAACTTTACGGGTTTTAGAGACAAAAGGCGACAAAGTGTTACCCATTTTTTTACATTCCATAGATGCCACAACACAATTTTTTGTTCAACATTTTGTTAATCGTCTACTCAAATAAGGTCTGATGTCTTCTCAGGTTCCTACAAGCAAAAACCAAAAAGACTTGAATGAATATATAATTTGAATGAATATGTAAAGATAAGGAGACATGCATGTGCGATATGTCATGCCGAAAGTAAACAAGGACGATCATCAGCTATTAAAAAACACCAATACCCCTAAACACATAGGCTCAACTAACAAATCAAAAAGTTAGAATGCCATGGATGGGAACACCTTCTTATGTTAATAGTACCATCAACTAATCACAAGAGTAGTCAAACACATGGAGCCATAAAACCCATTCCTGCACATTCAAATCGTCCGTTTCATAGCATGACGACATGGTACAGTGATAGCGTTGATAGTATTTTATGAGAATCCAGAACAACATATTTTGTATTAAGCAGCACTATACATTTTCTCAAAGGTCCACAACTAGAGTGTCAATTCAAAAGTTAACATTGACATCTACGAACATGGCTCACTGTTTGTGAAAGTTTACGTCATTTTTCTCCAACCTACGCACTTAAGTTTCAAGGAACTGAGATGCTATATTCTCTTCCTTACGTCACCAGAGTGACGACAATACCTTAGACTATGTATATGTGTCACTCACCTACTCAAGGATGGCGCTCTTGACGCTTCATCTCAACTCGAAATTTATCTTTAATATCACCCTGTGAGATAATGTGTTTACCATTACAACAGTGGTATCATCAATTGTACGAGAAATAAATAAAAGAGCAGAGAGATAAATGAAGCTGCGTACATTAGTTCTGCGCACTAGAATTGGACACTCATCTTTGATCCGCTTCCAGTTTGCACCATACCTGAATCACAAAAGAATACATCAAATCAATAGTAATGCATGAAAGATGTTCATTTAACATATAAGAGAACTTTCAGGTTTCAAGTACTTTTCATAGCCTCTCATAACGGCCAGCGTTTCTGCAGTACTCCAAGGAAGTTTCGTCCGTCTACCACCAACGTGGTTTCTTTTCCAAGGAGACATGACGATCCTTTTACCACTTGCTTTATTATTTACTTCATCATCGTCGTTCGTGTCTCCATCTGTATCATCGATTGAGTCTTTCCACTAAACATACAAACAAACAAAATGTGAAAAATAACTCGACTGAATAAAATAACTCCCACATTATCTCCAAAGTGAAATAATAGGAAAACATGAAGAATGAATAGGGATAGTGCCATTAAACTTATTGAATACAGTGTTCCTTCATACTAGCTATACAAACACACGAAGACCGAAGAAAACATCATAGATCATCTGATGGAGCAATAAACATGAACAAATTTACCTCATAAGTCTGTGCTGTGGGTCTTCGCTCCATCAAGCTAAGCTTGTTTGTTGCAGCAGGATTAGCAACATCATTTTCTTGTTGTGTAGTCCAAGTAACGTTTAAATTTGAAGGTCCTCTTCCTTCTGCCAAGGCATTCATCAGGTCGATTTTAGAAGCTCTAAGCGTTTCAAGCGCCTTGGCAACAACTGCAGAGGAAATGGTCTTCATTTTACGGGGTGGGGATACAGCTACTAACGCAACAGAAGGTCTTTCCTGCTCAGTATCTGAGAGCCTCCCTATAACAAACATTATCGAAAAATCAAAACGGTATCCTTCCAGAGGTTACTAGAAACCTGAAAGCTAAACGCATCAAAGCGAATGCATCAGACACATTGTACTAATAGGCATGGGATTTTGAACCGCACTGAACCCACGAACCGAACCTTAACCTTCGGTACGATTCGGTAGGCTTTCTAAAAAAACTTCGGTTTTCGGTTTGGTTCGGCAATTGGTTACTTCAGTTTTCTTCTTTTTAAACAAGTATATACTCAAACCATACCAAAAACTCGAACCGAACTAACCAAATTTCAAACCAAACTAACCTAATGTATCCAAAACTTTAGCAAATTAAACCAAAATCTAACCGAATCAAACCGTAATTCAGGTAATTCAGTAAGATTTATGTTGAACCGAACTAACCGAAATCGAATAAACCTCATGCCTACATTGTAATCAAGCCGAGAGAAACAAGTTTCAGAAAGTATTAGACCTTTGTCCACGTCCATCTCTTCAACCATTGGCTCAGTCTCTCCTGATTCTTCACTAGACTCTTCAGATTCCTCCATCTCCTCATCTCTCTCACCATTACCACAACCAATATTGGGATGCAGCTCCGTAACAACCTTCCTCAAAGAAGCCAAAGCTTTCTCTCTCGTATTCTCACCCCTCAAAGCCTCACAAGCCTTAACATCACCATGAGCCTTCCACAATCTTTTACAGCTATCCAAAAGTTCACGAGTAACCAAACAATTAGCCTTATCGCATAAAGGCATAACCCTACGGAGCCAAATCGATCTGATTGCTTCGGTATAAGCTGCTTTAGCGTCTTTCTCGTTAGTGAGAGACCTCGTTGTACACTCCACGGCGACTTGATAGTACGATTGCTTCACTGATTCGGGGACTTTAGAGCCTTCTTTGTGGAGAATCTCAACTAGATTCTCTAACCGCTCGAGATTCTTCTCCTCCACGAGTCCTTTTTCAATCTCCGTGAAGATTCCTTCGAGAATTGCTTCCTTCCACTGCGATAATGCCATTGTCGCCGAGACTCAAGTCAAACAACGCTATGGTTCTTCTCCCGGAGGGTTTGGAAGCGAAGGCGACGAGTATAATCCTTTTTTGCTATTTCCTTTCCCCAAAACAACAACGCGAGCGTCCCGATTTTTTTGAATGAAAACGGCGTACTTTCCGAATCTTTACCGAAAGAACGGCAAGAAATCAGAAGCGAAACGAAGCGTTTATTTTTTATTTTTTGCTATTTCCGTTCCTTAAAACAACAACGCGTGTCGTGTTTATAGCTTGAACCGGTTTACATGCCAAATCTCTACGGAGAGAACGGCAAGTTATCACCTTTTGCTATTTCCGTTCCTTAAAACAACAACGCGTGCGGTTGTATAACATGAAAACGTCTTACATGCCAAATCTCTAAAGAACAAACGGCAAGATGTTGTGATTTTAAAAGATCTCTCTCTTTGTTTTTAACCACTTTACCCCTAAACTCTTTCAAATATTTCAGTTAAACCCCTATAAAAGTTTTTCTTTACATTCGCCACTGGAGGCAGCGAGACCTAAAGAATATACTCTTGCAGCTAGCAGCAGCACTTCTTCTTCACGAGTCGCTCGCTATCTTCTCAGGAACGAGAACAATGTCTGGAGTAACGAAATCCGTTTCAACGTTAGACAATGTAGTGGTGAAGTCACCCAACGACCGGAGGTTGTACAGAGTGATTGAGCTGGAGAACGGATTGTGTGCTCTGCTTATTCACGATCCAGATATTTATCCCGAAGGCTCCGCGGCGGATGGTCAGAACACCGACGCAGACCACATGGATGAAGACGATGAGGACGGAGAGGAAGAAGAAGAAGATAGTGACGGGAGCAATGAAGATGACGAGGACGAGGGAGATGATGATATGGATGAGGATGAAGTGGAAGAGAAAGGAGATCAACAGACCAAAAAGGTTTTTCGATTTAACATATATATCACTCTTTTATCGGAATTGATTTTTAAAGTCTCTATGTGTTGTGATGTGCGTTTTAGGCGGCTGCAGCTATGTGTGTTGCAATGGGAAGTTTCTTGGATCCTCCCGAGGCCCAAGGCCTTGCTCACTTTCTTGGTATTTTCGTCTTTTGTATGAGTTTTGATTTACTTCCGTTGTTTTTTTGTGTTGATTCACTCTCATGTTAAATGTTTTGTGCAGAGCATATGCTTTTTATGGGTAGCACTGAGTTCCCTGATGAGAATGAAGTAAGCATTGTGTTGAATTCTATGTTTGCAATTGTTTTGAACTATTTGTAGATTTATATGACTGAAAAATGAAGTATTCTGGTAACTTCACATTGTTTTATGTTTGAATTACGATACTAAGCTAATTAGCTTGATTATATATACTGAGAATTTTATATAGAGCTTAGATAGTGGATGATGGTTGGTTAGATCTTTTCAGTGTTTAGTACATACTTTGTTTTGCTAGCGTGATGGATCTTTGATCTTTTCTCTGGGTTTGACTTTTTTTTGCTTGTAGTATGATAGCTACTTGTCTAAGCATGGGGGAGCCTCTAACGCATACACCGAAATGGAGCATACTTGCTATCATTTTGAAGTCAAGAGGGAATTTCTTCAAGGTGCCTTGAAAAGGTACTAAATTTACCAGGGCAGCTGATATATGTGTCAGTATGCAAGCCTAGAGTCTGTCAACATTTTTCTTTGGAAGACTTATTTGACCTTTAGTCTGTTCTGTTGTTGTTAGGTTCTCTCAGTTTTTTGTTGCACCGCTCATGAAGACTGAAGCTATGGAACGAGAAGTCCTTGCTGTTGATTCAGGTATTTCCTGTTAACCATACCCTTAGTCTCTTTGTTAGAAATTATCGAATGATTCATCTTCTGTCAACATTCAGATAAATTAATCTCTTATGTAAGTTAAAAGTGTGTTGCTAACGGTATCCAAATTTCATAGAGTTTAACCAGGCCCTCCAAAATGATGCTTGTCGTCTGCAACAATTTCAGTGCTATACTTCTGCAAAGGGTCATCCTTTTAATAGGTTCGCATGGGGTAAGGTCATCTCGGCCTACTTTTCTTGCAACACTAAAGTTATTCATGTAATAAGTTAATATTAATCTGTTCTTCTTCTGCTATTAAGGTAACAAGAAGAGCTTGAGTGGTGCAGTGGAAAATGGGGTTGATCTACGTGAGTGCATCGTGAAATTATACAAGGAATATTACCACGGTGGATTGATGAAACTCGTTGTCATTGGAGGAGGTAAAGGTTTATGTCTATGATGTGTTTGGCTCTAATTCTTGGAAGACGTTATTTCCATTCCTAGATATTGGCTTGTTTGCTATCTGAGTTTATTATATTTATGGTTACCTATAAATTCTTGCAGAATCTCTCGATACGCTTGAAAGTTGGGTTGTAGAACTATTTGGCGATGTCAAAAAGGGATCCAAAATTAGGCCAACTCTGGAGGCAAAAGGTCCTATTTGGGAAGGCGGTAAATTATATCGCCTAGAAGCTGTTAAAGATGTTCATATTCTTGATTTGACATGGACTCTCCCTCCTCTTCGCCATGCCTATGTGAAGAAGCCGGAAGACTATCTAGCACATCTGTTAGGACATGGTGAGAAATCACATCCATTTTTATTGTTCGTATATAGTTTTCTTAAAGCGTTATTGTACGTGCGCTCATGTAAACTGCATACTGAAGAATCTTGTATATACCATTCTCTTTTCAGAGGGTAGAGGAAGTCTTCATTCATTCCTTAAAGGTAAGGGCTGGGCAACCTCGCTGTCTGCTGGTGTTGGGGATGATGGAATTAACCGCTCGTCTCTAGCCTATGTGTTCGGAATGTCCATACATCTCACTGACTCTGGTTTAGAGAAGGTAACTAACATATTTGAACTAAGCTTAACGCAGTAGTTAATCAAATGCTATCAACTTAATATATAGTTTTGTATATTTTCGTTCTTCTCCTTCTATATTTTTGTTATGTTACTCGTTCTCATTGGATCTTATGACAATTTCTATTAACAGATTTATGACATCATTGGTTACATCTATCAATATCTCAAGTTATTGCGTGATGTGTCACCACAAGAATGGATATTCAAGGAACTCCAAGATATTGGGAACATGGACTTTAGATTTGCCGAGGAGCAGGCTGCAGATGATTATGCTACTGAGCTCTCAGGTTTGTACTTACATGACCATTCGTCTAGTTTTTAAAGCTTTAATAGTGGTTAGCTTATTAAATTGGCAAGTAAAACCTAAATATTTTCAGAATTTATAATGCATTAATGTAATCATTATGGGTTTTCATAACTAACCATTGAAAGTGTTATTGTACAGAGAATATGCTTGCATATCCGGTAGAGCACATTATTTATGGTGATTATGTATACCAGACATGGGATCCAAAAATCATAGAAGATCTCATGGGTTTCTTCACACCAAAAAACATGAGGATTGATGTTGTTTCGAAATCCATCAAGTCAGAAGGTACTTTAGAAATTTGTTGAGCATGTAATTTTTTGGATTGCCTATATATGTTCTTACTATCTTCCTTTGAATCTTCCTTGTTTCAGAGTTCCAAACTGAGCCTTGGTTCGGTTCTCGTTTCATAGAAGAAGATGTTCCATTGTCTTTGATGGAAACATGGAGTAATCCGTCGGAAGTAGATAACTCTTTGCATCTTCCTTCCAAAAACCAATTCATCCCTTGTGATTTTTCCCTCCGAGCCATTAGTTCTGATGCGGATCCCAAAAGTCAGTCCCCTCCTAAGTGTATAATTGATGAGCCGTTAATGAAGTTCTGGTACAAGCTTGACGAAACGTTTAAGGTTCCCCGTGCAAATACATACTTCCGCATAAATCTGAAGGGGGCTTATGACAGTGTGAAGAATTGCCTTTTGACGGAATTATTTATCAACCTCCTGAAAGACGAGCTAAATGAGATCGTATACCAGGCAAGTAACCACCTCCTAGGAAGATCTTTTTAGATGTCATTGTTTTTGTATTGACATGAATATCTGCTTTCTTTGCAGGCCAGTATAGCAAAACTTGAAACGTCTTTATCCATGTATGGTGATAAACTAGAGCTTAAAGTATATGGCTTTAATGAAAAAATTCCAGCTCTCTTATTAAAAATCTTAGCCATAGCCAAATCATTCATGCCAAGGCTGGACCGGTTTAAGGTGTGTGAATTTTTGCATGTATAATTGTTATACTCTTTAATTCTAATTCAGTCTTTAACTTCATCATTCTTTCTTAATCCGACTAGGTTATCAAAGAAAACATGGAGAGAGGGTTTAGAAATACCAATATGAAGCCTTTGAACCATTCCACATACTTGAGACTACAACTCTTGTGTAAACGAATCTATGACAGCGACGAGAAGTTGTCTGTACTAAATGATTTGTCTCTCACTGATCTCAACAGCTTTATTCCTGAAGTCCGCTCTCAGGTAACATTCTGCATCAGCCACAGTTTATATGATTCCCCTTTTATTTAATACACAACTTGCTTTTGCGATTGTTCTTTGGTTTAGACAAAACTTCCTTTATGTTCGCAGATATTTATCGAGGCTCTATGTCATGGTAATTTGTCGGAAGACGAAGCAGTAACCATATCGAACATATTCAAAAACAATTTGACACTTGAACCGCTCCCAGTCAAAAGTAGACATGGAGAGCAGATTACGTGTTTCCCACCGAGTGCCAAACTTGTAAGAGATGTCAACGTCAAGAACAAATCTGAAACAAATTCAGTAATCGAGGTAAAAAGACATATATCTGTTCTTGTGATGAGAGTCAGACAAGTAGAAGCTGTAGTAGGTTTTTCCTATAGCCGTATATAGACATGGTTATGAATTTGAACTTGAATCCTGTTTTTGCAGCTTTACTATCAAATCGAGCTTGAGGAAGCTCAGTCAACAAGAATGAAAGCTATGCTGGATCTCTTTCATGAAATCATAGAAGAGCCATTGTTCAATCAGTTGAGGTTAGTCATCACATGTTTCTCTAGTTTGCTTATTAGATCAAATCCTATTCACGTATAGCCATATAATTAATGCGGTTTTTGATATAGGACAAAGGAGCAGCTGGGTTATGTTGTTGAGTGTGGTCCTCGCTTAACTTACCGTGTCCACGGTTTCTGTTTCTGTGTTCAATCTTCTAAGTACGGTCCAGTTCATTTGCTCGGAAGAATCGACAATTTCATAAAAGACATCGAAGCGCTCTTGGTAAGTCTGTAATAAGAAAAAGAGATGTTAATCTAGGTTTAAGCCTTTTTCCCATCTCACTCCACAAATGTTACTTGGGCTGACATTGCAGGAACAACTCAATGAAGAATCCTTTGAAGATTATAAAAGCGGTGTGATTGCTAAGTTGCTGGAAAAGGAGCCATCTCTCTTATCTGAGACAAATGAGTTATGGAGTCAGATTGTCGACAAAAGGTAAAAGGATCTCAATGAGTTGTTGCTTTGTGCCATATCGATCACTGAAAAGCAAACTAAGTAAAATCTCTCTATCACAGGTACATGTTTGATTACTCCCACAAAGAAGCAGAAGAACTAAGAAGCATAGAGAAGAAAGATGTGATCAACTGGTACAAAACCTATTTCAGAGAATCATCACCCAAATGTCGTAGGCTTGCAGTGAGAGTATGGGGATGCAACACCAATATGAAGGAGGAAACTCAAACAGATCCCAAGTCGGTGCAACAGGTCATAGTAGACGCTGTGGCTTTTAAGTCAACCTCCCAGTTTTACCAAAGCCTCTGCTAGTGAGAAACAATAGTTACTATTATACAATTACTTCATTTTTTCTGTGATATTTTTTTCTTTTTAACTCAATTTTTCTTTATAATTTTGGGGGATCATATTATGTTTTGTTATGATATGAGGTATGCATTTAAATTAACGGTAAAAACTAACATTAATATGTATAACTACAAATTTAGCCCGCGGTAAATTTATGGTGTGGGGCCCAGGGAAACCATCATCGTCCTCTCTTTTTCTCTCTCTTACTATTTTCCTCTGTACGGTGGTGAGTGGAAGAAAATAGGAATCTGAATCTCTTCTTCTCCTCCGTCGAAGTTTGAGTCCTCTCTCGTTCTCACGTGACCTTTCTCTCTCCCTCCATATCTTCTCCTTTCTTTCATTTCGCGTCTCCTCAAATTCTTTCTGATCTCTCTCTCTCACAACGGTAGATCTAGGGTTTATAGCTTCTGGATATTCTATATCGTCGTTCTCCAGCTTATGTTAAATGTTTAACTAACGACTTTATAATTCTCCGTTTTTATTTGCTGCAGTTGAGCTTCCTTGGCTTCAGTTCTCTCGCATATTTACGAATGAGGTTCGTTATCTCCAGATCGAAACGATTTTGTTTCTCTCGACGTTTATACTTTGCTAGTGTATGATCGATGTGAAATTTTGTTTGGTGGATAGATCGTTGTAGATCGTGATTTGAAGCGAGAGAGATAAAAAAAAATTAGGAGAGCGAAGATGAGCGAAGGCCAGAAGTTCCAGCTAGGAACAATCGGCGCTTTGAGTTTGTCCGTTGTATCGTCTGTGTCCATCGTGATCTGTAACAAGGCGCTTATTAGCACTCTTGGCTTCACCTTCGGTAAAACCTTATTCAACTCTTGCTTCACTGTGGATTTGCGTGTTTCAGGCTCTTTGATTATTGATGTTACTGCAGAAAATATGGATCTATCCTTGTGCTTGTGTAGTGAAGTTTACTCTTAAGGGAATGAGTTGAAAGATAGGTTAGATATCGTTTTACTTCATACTATCTTTGGAATTGTTAGGTGGTTATCTTTTTTTCCCTTATGGTCAGGTCCATAACGAGAATTTGCTGTTTTAAGAAAGTTTTTTTTTTATCGTTGGTATCTGATGTAAACGCTTTAGAGGCTTCTGACTTTAAACAGTGTTTGTGTTCCCAAAAATTGGTATTCTCTGGTTACTGTATGAGCTGCTTGTTTACGTTAGCTCTTCTTTTCTGTGTCACCATAACTACTTACATTTCATAATATGCTATTGATCTCTTAAGCTATTGGTACTAATTTTTGTTATTTTCTAATGTACAGCGACTACTTTGACAAGTTGGCATCTATTGGTCACGTTTTGTTCCCTTCATGTGGCACTATGGATGAAGATGTTTGAACACAAGCCTTTTGATCCACGAGCTGTGATGGGATTTGGTATTTTGAATGGAATATCCATTGGACTACTTAACCTCAGCCTGGGCTTTAATTCCGTTGGTTTTTACCAGGTAATTGCTTTTTCATTCTAGCTGCTACATGACGATATCTTTGTAGCATGTGTTTTTTAAACCCTATCTTCTCTTCTGTTTGTATTAGATGACAAAACTAGCAATCATCCCCTGTACTGTTCTCTTGGAGACGCTCTTCTTCAGGAAAAAATTCAGGTTAGCACTCAAAGTTATGTCTCTTACTTTTTGTATCTTTCTAATAAACGTGAGTGATTGTCAATTTGGAGGGTACTATATATTATATGGCATCATCTATCATAGTCTCTGGTCAAGGGCAAAGTTAATGACACGCTTCTTTGTTTTGTTGCAGTCGAAAGATTCAGTTTTCATTAACCATCCTTCTGCTTGGAGTTGGAATTGCAACCGTCACAGATCTTCAGCTTAATATGCTGGGTTCTGTCTTGTCGCTGCTGGCTGTTATCACGACTTGTGTTGCTCAAATTGTATCCTATGCTTAGCCTTTCTTCTTTTCTTTCGACCTTCTTAATATTCTATCTTATGCCAATCCGATACTGTTATCTTTAACCAATTGTACACAGATGACAAATACCATCCAGAAGAAGTTCAAAGTTTCATCCACGCAGCTTCTTTATCAGTCTTGCCCTTACCAAGCAATCACTCTTTTCGTCATTGGCCCATTTTTAGATGGGCTCCTAACCAACCAGAACGTGTTTGCTTTCAAGTACACTTCTCAAGTTGTGGTAAGACTCAATCTGCCAGGGATTCTACCCAGCTTATTATCTTGCGACATATGTTTACACGTGCTTCTTTGTTTACTGCAGTTCTTCATCGTCCTATCCTGCATGATATCAGTTTCTGTAAACTTCAGCACTTTTCTGGTCATTGGGAAAACGTCTCCGGTCACATATCAGGTTCTGGGACATCTGAAAACATGCCTGGTTCTAGCATTTGGATACGTGTTGCTGAAGGACCCATTCAACTGGCGAAACATTCTTGGTATTATGGTGGCTGTGATTGGAATGGTTGTTTATTCTTATTTCTGCTCGGTTGAGACTCAGCAGAAGGCAAGTGAAGCATCAACCCAATTGCCTCAGGTATATTTCCTCTAGCTAATAGCTTTCTGTTTGGGCTATACTTAGCTTTAATACTATTCAATAAATATAACCCTGTTTCCTCACTTACTTCTCTCGTATGACTTAAACAAAAGATAGTGTGTCATGTTATATTGGTGAAGGAGAAAGAAAAAAGAAACTGATGTTTACTTGTTGGGTTATGGCAGATGAAAGAGGGCGAGAAGGATCCGCTAATAGCAGCTGAAAATGGAAGCGGAGTGTTATCAGATGGTGGTGGTGGTGTCGGTGTCCAGAAGACGACAGCTCCTGTATGGAACTCAAATAAAGATTTTCAGGCCTAAAAGAAAATTGAACATTGCTATATTTTTTTCTTATATATATATCAAACTCTCTTTTGTATCAGATTTGTCAGAAGAAAAAAAACTTTTTTTTATTTCGTCTTGTTTGTTTGTTTGTTCTCTTTTAAAGATCTCATAGCTGTAGGAGAGACTGAAAATTCAACAGCTTTTCACAACGTATAGAAGTAGAGAAAAATGGAAACATTGGTTTCATGATTCAATCTTTATCCCAAAGCTGTGGCTATATTCATCAACACTGGAAAATGTATTTGATTTTCAGACCTCAGATGTCCTCGATTCAGTTCTGCTTACCAACTTCTTGTTGTTTTTTTGTTATTTAATACAGTCCAAGCAAGAAAGCAGCAAGCACCAGTGGTCTAGTGGTAGAATAGTACCCTGCCACGGTACAGACCCGGGTTCGATTCCCGGCTGGTTCATTTGAGGAGAGCTATGAAGAAAATGGCTTAGCGTTGGTTGGGTCCTTCGCATTCATCTGAATATAAGATGGTATGGCCTCATACTGAGCTCCTCACTTTTTTTATTCAGATGGTATGGCCTCATACTGAGCTCCTCACTTTTTTAAAACGAACAATGTTCATACTGTGTTTTGAGTTTGAGATTATGGTAAACATTATCTTATTAGCAGATAACATAGTATTCACTTTGTCACTGAAGCTTATTATGTAGTTTTCTTTGTAACTTAGTAAAGAGACTGATAAACTAACGTTTTCAACCTTACTTTCCAGTTAAGTGCTCATCCTACGCGTTGACAGTCTACAATGGTTACGTTTCAACACAATTAAGAAAAAAAAATCGTTCCATTTTTTTCCTTTGGGATTTCCCATAGCATTCCACGTCTTCCATAGAAGTACACAGAACGAAAAGAATTGATCTGTTGGCTTCAAGGTCAAAATGATGGCTGGCACCACCTCAACATCCATCCAAATTCCTGCTTAATCCTAAGAACCATCAGCACCGGTCATGAAACATCAACAGCCACCTTTTGGATAACTTGCTCATGGTGGTGTATTGTGTCTGAAACTTTGCTCGGTGGCCAATACCTAAACACGGATCTTCCAATGATATTCTTTATTGGAAGTGGACCCCTGCATTTTATATTCATCCATGATTCACACACAGTTTTAACACAGAAGAACCATGAAAAAGCTAGATATCTTCCAAAGTGATTACCAGTTATGAGAGTCAAAGCTTTTGTTGCGGTTGTCTCCTAGGACAAAGACATAACCTTCAGGGACCAACTGCAAGTAAAACATGAGTAACTTAGCTGTGTTACTCTTTTGCAACTTTAATGTTGAGAATCATTGAACTGGGAAATGCAAGTTTTGCTTACCATTGGTTCCATCTCGTAGCCAATTGGCTCTAATACAAAATCTTCTACTTGAACGGTGTCATTCACTAAGAGCTTTCCATCACAAACCTATATGATACAAGATCAATAGGTTAAACAAGAAAATGATACAGAAACATTAAAAAAAGGGCTTGGGTTGAGGAGGCAGGTCATCAAGAAGCCACTACTAATACCAATAAAGGTCTATAGCAAAAGAGTTCAACGGAAGATAGGATCAACCAACAAGTGATTTAGATAAAACGGCTTACTTCAACCCAGTCACCTTCGCTTGCAACTATCCTTTTAATGAAAACATCAGTACAATTGTAACCATGCTCCTGCAATTTTTCCAAGCAGAAAATCAAACACCTCTGCAACAGGTTTTTAAACCATTTGGAAAAAAAAACAAGAGAGTGATTTGTTACCTACCACCAAAACAGGAGGAGCCTTGAAGATGACTATATCCGAAACCTCTGGCCTTCTGAACAAGTACGAGACCTGACCAGCACCAAAAGCACATACGCAGATTAATAACTCATCAAACCATTCAGACATGAAGCACACACCACCAATCAAAAGTTTTGAAAGCCACTCAATTTCAAACAAACATGGATCTAACATTATAATCCAATCATAGAAAATACATACAGACTCCCTCGTGATTCGTGAATGAGACAGTATTACTCACAATGCACAGTAATATAGCCAGAATCAAGTACTTATCACCTTCTCAACCATAACACTGATTAAAGCCACCGTTTTTAAAAATCATCTCAACATCAAACATTATAACCAATCACAGAATAGAGCCTAATCTCACCTTCTCAGCCATAACACGATCCCCAACATCAAGAGTAGGATACATAGACATCGAAGGTATAGACTTGGGCTCAGCCAAAGCCGAACGAAACATCAAAGAAACAGTCACCGCCGTAAAAGCCGCCTTAGCATCCTCCGAACATATATTCAACAGCTTATTAACCCACCCATTTCCAAAGCTCGACCCTAACTCCATCTTCACATTCCCTCCCCTATCAATCTCACCAACATCCGTCGTCAACGTCGCCGGAATACTACTACAAGGCATCCACTTAGACCCTCTCAGAAACGGAATCACGGAAGAAGCCTTGAACGGAGAGATCCCGAGAAGATCCGGAGCAGCTGCTCCGGTTAGCTTCATGAGGGAGATCATGCCTGAGATGAGAGGACTACTCTTGCTTCCTTCTTCGAGAAGCTCTCTGGCGATTGTGCTGTACATTGAAGCTGAAGGAGATGGAGATGATGATTTGTCGAGATCGGGGATCTGACTGTGGTTGAAGATTCTGGGACGGAGGCAGTAATCGAAGCATGATCGGACATCGCCGCGAGCCGCGGCGGAGGAAGCGATGTTCCTCGCGACGTAGCTGGAGTATGTGAAGGTAACCCTAATCGCCATAACGGTTCAATTTTAGGGTTTAAAGGTTTAACGGAGATGAGTAAGGAAGGGAGAGAGTGTTGATGAACCGGTTAAATTAAATTAAACCGGTTTAATTGGATCGGAGATTGAGGTTTTCAGGTGGAAAGCGAAGAGAGATCTCCCCAGAGATATGGGGGGAAGAGAGGTTTTGTCTCTGTGTCTCCAGAGAGATGAGTTTTTATTATGGTCAAATGTGACGGGCCCCACAATTTTTGCAATTTTACATTCCTGTCCCAAACTTTATTAGATTTACTCTTCTTATTAAGCATTTTTATTACTTTGTTTCCCACGGACAGCGTCAAGGCTGAAGACGGTAACACGTGTCCTATGGTTGGTTTGCCATTTTCTCCCTTTTTTGAAAAAAACCCAAAATCGAAGAAATCCATAGATAGATATATGAGCTACAAGAGGCGGTGGTGTTCACTCGCCCTTGGGGGAGAGTGGGCAATCTTCAAAGTAGGTTTTGAGTAAGAAATTTAATTTTTTTGAGAAAAAATTGTTTCATATAAATGATTGTATCATCAAAATGTACAAGTTAGAGACTTTGTTTAAGAGTTTTGGACATTTTAAAATTTCTAATTATGTTGCTCTAGGAACAATGTTGCTACTCACTTAACATATCAACAAAGTGAAGCTTCAGGTTCAAGATTGTAAAGGATGTACTAATTTACTTTGTCTCCCGTACACATTATATCCCAGACGATCTTAATTTTGTTAATTAGGAATTTCTTATATTCTTAGCAACAATAATAAAATTTCTTATATAGTCAAGTTTTAACATTTTGTTAATTAGTTGACATATCTAAAGCATGCATATACATGCAAAATATGTGATTTATAATACATTCATTTCACTATATATCAACTTTCATAATATTTTAATGTTTTATTGTTTACAAAATCTAATATATGATTCATGTTACGTACATAAAGGAAGCCCGCCTGATTCATGACCACAGCGCATACGTCATCTCGTATTAAGAGATGTTTCACTGAGTCCGAGTACTCTCTACTCAGTACTGACAATATTTAAAATTCTTAAAATAAATAACGAATTTGAGTAACTTAGTCGTTAACTTAGTGAGGTTAGGTTTGACCACAACCTAATCAAAAAATGGATTCAGTGTTGACAATTCATTTTAGCCTATTTAATGTCTTCGTACACAGACAAACACTAATCTCTCAAGTGTAGTTTCATTTGATATGGTTGATAAGATATGATGAAGAGACAAAAAAGGTTTACAAGAAGGCTTTTTTGCTATTTTGTAATTTTTGTGTGACTTAATGGGCCTAAAATATGTATAGGAGAAGTGGAAATACCAAGCAGAAGATTAAAATGTTGATAATATGTTCGGGCAGAGTAATTGGGTTAGCTTCACGTTTGTCCTAGACAATTTACTGCTAAGGTGGTTCTTCTCTAGCCTATTTATTCTGGAATGCTTAAAGGCAACATATTGCAGTGCCTATTAGAAACTTCATTTTCTTACCAATATACAAGTGACTACACTAGAGTGCAAGTAAAACAAATTTCTGGTATCTAATTCATCAGCTAATGATAGTCATCAAAGCACCAGTGGTCTAGTGGTAGAATAGTACCCTGCCACGGTACAGACCCGGGTTCGATTCCCGGCTGGTGCATCTTGAGCTGTGAAGAAAACGGTTTAGCGATGGTTGGGTCCATCGCATCCATCTGATTTCCAGATTGTATAGCCATAATCCTGAGCTCTCTTTTTTAATTTTTTTAATTTTCACAATTCATGAAGATAATAATGTACTAAACAGTCTCAGTTTAAACGTCAACTACACAAACGAATACATAAAACAATATGGCGAATTTTATGAAAGAAAATGTAACAAAACTCATTATTTATTACCAAGAGGAATACTAATTTATTAGAATCTTATTTGTTCCTTGAAGAACAAACAATGAGGGTAGCAACAAACAATGAAAACTCACAAATCACAACAACACAAGACCAACACAGTTAATAAATAAATAGTAGTAGAAAGGGAATGGAATCAAATCAAATGAATTGTAAAGCCTATTAACAGATGTATTCAGAGCCTTTTTTGTCAATAGGCAGAGCTACTCTCACTAGCAGAGAGAGAAGGTCCTTCAGATTTTACCAAGGTTGAGCTGTTATTGCTACTTATCTCTAGCCCTTGCATTCTCCCGTTCTGCAGAAACTCCGACACGCTCTGAGAGTTGGACATGGCCTCCATTGGATTGTATCCGTGCATCTGCTGCATATCTTGGCCGTTGTTGACTGAGCCATGCTGATATTGTGGAATAGCCATGAAGGTTGAAGGAGAGTACTGAACCTGCTGCATTCCCATGTCAAAGGAATCTGAATTACCAGAGATTTCTCCAGTCTCAATCTTCATCCTCTCAAGTTCTTTCCTCAATGCTTCGTTTAAAGCTGTGTTTGCATTCACAAAAACCAAAAGCATAGAGATTGAAAATCACATAGGGGGATAATGCAGCAAAACACAGACAAAAAGATTAGTTTCAAGTGCTTGTTTTGTTATTACCATTACGAAGGTGAGCTTGTTGCTCCATTGCTTGTAACCTGAGCTTTAGCTCTGTGTTTTCGTTTGCAAGTCCATTTGTATCTCTCTGGTCAACCAAACAACATTGAATTCAGAAAAACATCATTATAAACTACTTTCTTGGGTAGAACAGCGAAAAGATCTTTACTTTTATGAAAGTTTTGAAATCAAACAACATTCGAACTGAGACCTACTTTCTTGTGTAGAACAAAGCCAAGATCTTTACTTCATTGTTTTGATAAACAAAGACTCTAATTTACCAAAACATGGTTTGAAACTTGCCTATCAAGCTACGTCATTGCATAGAACAGAGCAAAGATCTCTACACTTTATTATTTTTGAAACTAAACTGAGACCTCTTGTATTCACTAAAACATGGTTGAAACTTCCCTATAAAGCTACTTTCTTGTGTAGAACAGAACCAAAATCTTTACTTTATTTGTTTTGATAAACGGAGACTCTCTAATTCACCAAAAACATGGTTGAAACTTGCCTATCAAGCTACGTCCTTGCATAGAACAGAGCAAAGATCTTAACACTTTATTCTTTTGAAACTAAACTGAGACCTCTTGAATTCACCAAAACATGTTTCAAACTTCCCTATAAAAGCTATTTTCTTGTGTAGAACAAAGGTAAGATCTTTACTTTATTGTGTTTGACAAACAAAGACTCTAATTCACCAAAAACATGGTTTGAAACTTGCCTATCAAGCTACGTCATTGCATAGAACAGAGCAAAGATCTTTACACTTTATTGTTTTGAAACTAAACTGAGACCTCTTGAATTCACCAAAAACATGGTCGAAACTTCCCTATAAAGCTACTTTCTTGTGTAAAACAGAGCCAAGATCTTTACTTTATTGTGTTTGATAAACTGAGATTCTCTAATTCACCAAAAAAATGGTTGAAACTTGCCTATCAAGCTACGTCATTGCATAGAACAAAGCAAATATCTTTTATACTTTATTGTTTTGAAACTAAACTGAGACCGCTTGTATTCACCGAACACATAATTAAAACTTCTCTATCAAGCTACTTTCTTGTGTCGAACTTTATTGTGTTTGATAAACTGAGACTCTAATTCACCAAAAACATGGTTTGAAACTTGCCTATCAAGCTACGTCCTTTGCATAGAACAAAAGCAAAGATCTCTACACTTTATTGTTTTGAAACTAAACTGAAACACTTGAATTCACCAACAAAAACATAACTGAAACTTCCCTATCAAGCTACTCCTTATGTAGAACAAAGCAAAAGATCGTAAACTTTACCTGGAAGAGAGTGAGCTGAGCAGAGAGAGTAGTGGCTTCAGTCTGAAGAGATTGAACTTTACGCTCAAGCTCTTGAATGTACCTTGCTTTCCTCTCCTTAGAACGAGCTGCAGATTGCCTATTCGCTAAGATCCTGCAAAATCAAAATTCCAAATCCAAAATCATTCTCATTACATTACATTAATCTTCAATTCAATTAAAAAAAAAAGCTTAATGGGCCAAACCTTTTGGCCCGTTTAGGATCAACGTTCCAAAGCTCAGATAGCTTCTCCGGAGGCATAGCTTTCTTCGCGTCCATGATTTCATTAGCGTACATCGCGCATCCCGCGTCAACGGAGTTGCTGTGACGGTGACGTGGACGAGACGACGACGAGGACGGAACGGCGCCGGAGACGGAGTTAGTCTGATTCGGAAACGCGATTGTGGGGTGCGGATTCGTGGAGAGGCTGTCGACGTCGATGAAGGAGGAGAAGAGATCGTCGTCGGAGGGGAGATCGTCGGAGGAAGGCGGCGGTGGACCGGAGGAGAGCGGATCCATGAACATGAACATTGACATGTCGTCGGAGCGAGATCGGCGGTGGAAGGAGGAAGGGGTTGGATCGGTGTTTGGAGGTTGAGGATCTGATTTCTCCATGGAAAGGATTGATTGTGAGAATGTGTGAAATTATTACAGAGTCAAATGTGTGTTATGAAGAAGAAGAAGATAATGATGGAGATGGAGATGAAAGCTTTCTCTCTCTATAATATGAGATTTGGAGGAGGAGAGAAGTGATGACGTCAGTTAAAAAGGTAAAAAGAGCGCACATTGACACACGTGAAGCATCGCAGCATCTTGTCTCCCTCCCTCTTTCTTTTTCATTACATTACATTATTTATCTATTTTTAAAATCTCTATCTTTAGTGACTAATTATGTTCTTAATACAGCTTTAATTAGTCTCCTAGTACTGGTAGTAGTGTAGTACCCATTTACATGTTTTTTTTTTTTTAGTTGTTGTCTCAACGATGTTTTTAACAATTATTGCATTTACGTAACATCTCTCCACGTCTGACTCAAGATTTTGACTTCTAAAGTACTCCAATTTAACTAAATAACTGGAGTATTAAATTTGATGAGGAAGTTATTAAAGAAAAAGACTAATAAGAGTTTTCACAATGCTGATTAAAGTTGTGGACTCAGACATGGAGAAAGCTTTTTAAAGTTGTGATCACAAGAGCTTGTTCTCTTTCTTAGCCAGTTTTGGTCTGGTTATGTACATTATTTAGGTTTTTTTTTATTGTTATTTAGTTTTTTTTTTCGCCATCTTACAGATATTATTGATCATAAATTACAAACAATTTTAAGAAAGTCGGACAAGTATGGATTAGACTCTAATCTTGATTTTGCAAAATAATTATTATGCTTCTTGTAGCTATGTTCTTAATTATTTTTTACATTTGAATTTATATATAATCTTACTATTATTTCTTCGATGCAAAGGATTTTCATATAACTTGAGAAGTGAAACAAGTTACACAACCAATATAAATACCAGAACTCATTACAAAGATATGACTCATTATTGAAAATACATTATGATAGCTACTTAACGATCCATTTTTTTTTAAATACCTCTTCTTTTAACATTGATAGGGCTTCACTAGGGGAACCAAGGAGCTGCTTAGGTGCATGGACATCACTTCATTGGTTGAACCAACGAGCTTACCACCAATGAAGACGGCTGGAACCGGCTTTGAACAGCCTAGTCTCAGTAATGCCTTCTCGATCTCCCGGCACTCAGGGTCCTTGTCTATCTCGTGGATCTTAGGGCTAACCCCGAGATCTTGGAAGAGGACTTGAACCGCGTAGGACAAACAACACGAGCTCTTGCTGAAGATAACCACTCCTTTCTCTGATGATAGTCTCATAACCTTGTCCATTTTCTTAATGAAAATGAGGAAGAATAAGGAGTGAAAGGAGTCTCGGAGCAAAGACTCCCTGAAACCAAACCCGGAGATCGAGCTTGGTGTTGCTTGTGAGTCTGGTTGCTTGAGTCGCAGGCTATATTTATAACCAAGAGAAGAAGAATCAGAATCCAAATACTTTTAAAAAGGGAGATATCACAAGAAGATCGTGTTGAAAAGGATCCATAAAACGGCTTTACTACTGATTCGAGGAGACCGAACCTTTTCGTGGGCGTTAGCCGCGTTACAGCTCTTGCATTTATTGAAAGAACCAAGAAGAGTTGCATAAAAGCTCATTGGTCATTCCAAGTTTTTTTTTCAATTTTTTCATAGATTCAAAGATACGGTCTCAACGATACTCGTACAAATTTGCTAAAAAGTTAGCAATGGTCGTTGAATATTAGTTGATGCTTTTTAGGACCATTTGATTTATTCTTCAGATTCTATAAGTCATTGGACATGGAATCAGATTCGAGCCTTTTCGCGCCATATGAATCCCTTGAGAGTTAAAAACAGATTACAAAGAAATTAATTAATTTACAAGGATCTAACGGTCATTATTATATAATAAGAATCAACGGTCAGGATTTGAAGTCACCAAATTTTTCTTCTTTGGTAATCTGTTGTACTTGCGAGTGTTCTTCACCAAACATTTTATTTTCCCCTTCCATGTAATGAAAATCAATTTTCCAAATTCGGATAAAAAAGACAACACCTTTTAATCCTGTCTGATGCAGAATTAGTTTTGGGTTTTGTAATAACCAGAGAAGACACCACAGAGACGACGAACTCAGCTCAGAAGCATGAATCTGTGTCTTCACAACCCCGTAACGTGTCTTGATCACAGCTCATCCTTCTTCTCCCCGTTAAAGACTTCAAATTACAAACTTGGTTCTTCAAAGTTAGGGTTTTTAAATAATCAGAAGAAGAATCATATAGTTACAGTGAGATCTGCTTCTTCGAGTACAGTCAGTACAGTTAAAGAAGAGACGAAGAGAGGAGAGAGTCAAGTGTACGACGCAATTGTAATCGGCTCAGGTATCGGAGGATTAGTCGCGGGGACTCAACTATCCGTTAAAGAAGCTAAAGTTTTAGTTTTGGAGAAGTATTTAATCCCTGGTGGGAGCTCTGGTTATTACGAAAGAGATGGATACACATTCGATGTTGGCTCTTCTGTCATGTTTGGTTTCAGCGATAAGGTTCGTTAAAGACTCTTTCTTTAGATGATGAGAATGTTTGTGTCTTCTAATGGCTTTTGTTTTGAAAGTGAACAGGGGAATTTAAACTTGATAACTCAAGCGTTGAAGGCAGTTGGTCGTGAGATGGAGGTTATACCTGACCCCACCACCGTTCATTTCCATCTCCCCAATGATTTAAATGTTCAGGTTCATAGAGAGTATGATGAGTTTGTTAACGAGCTTATTAGCAAGTTTCCTCATGAGAAGGAAGGGATTCTTGGATTCTATGGCGTCTGCTGGAAGGTTCTGATGTGACTTTTACTTATTGAATTTTTTTTTGTTACTTGTGTGGTGTGTTGTGCTATGTATTTATGTGTGTTTACAACTTGGAACAGATCTTTAACTCATTGAACTCTCTGGAACTGAAGTCACTTGAAGAGCCTATCTACCTTTTTGGACAGTTCTTTCAGAAGCCGCTTGAATGCTTGACACTCGGTACTTTGTTGTTTGTTTGTGTATTTATTAGTTTCTGTGAGTATATACATTGACATGAATCTTTTTAATGTTGTTCTCTGTGCTCTACAGCTTATTACTTGCCTCAAAATGCTGGGGCTATAGCTCGCAAGTACATAAAGGATCCTCAATTACTGTCTTTCATTGACGCAGAGGTGATACAAAAAAGAAAGAGTCATTTGGTCCAAACATGCAGAGTTTATTTTACTCAGTTTTATAAAGACAGGCCTATTTTTTTTGCCTGCAGTGTTTCATTGTGAGCACAGTCAATGCTTTGCAGACGCCAATGATCAATGCAAGTATGGTAGGATTCTTGTTTTTTTTTTTTGGCATTTTGGTGTCTACCCCATGTTTTCCTTTCTGGTCTGTTCTAAGTGTTCAATGACAGGTTTTATGTGACAGGCACTATGGAGGGATTAACTACCCTGTTGGTGGTGTTGGTGGGATTGCCAAGTCTTTAGCAGAAGGACTTGTTGATCAAGGCAGTGAAATACTCTACAAAGCTAATGTGAAGAGCATTATACTTGATGATGGAAAGGCTGTAAGTGTCTGTATAACTCTTGCTACAAAAGTTTCCAAGTCTTACTCTTGCTTAACCTTTTGAAATTCATTTTTTTTCTATTTAGGTTGGTGTAAGGCTAGCAGATGGAAGAGAGTTCTATGCGAAAACAATAATTTCTAATGCTACAAGATGGGATACGTTTGGTAAGAGAAAACAATGAGTTTCCTAAGTGTTTGTTGATAGGTGTCTTAGCATAGTATTTACCGTGATGCAGGGAAGCTGTTGAAAGCAGAAAAGCTTCCACAAGAAGAAGAAAACTTCCAGAAAGTCTATGTGAAGGCACCGTCATTTCTTTCAATCCACATGGGTGTTAAAGCAGAGGTTCTCCCTCCAGATACAGACTGCCATCATTTCGTACTTGAGGTTTGTTAGTTTCTTACTAAGAAGATCTATTCCCTTTGGCAGAATTAAAGTTGTTGAAAATGGCGAGATTATGTTATTTTGTTGCACATGTAGGATGATTGGAAGAATCTGGAAAAGCCTTATGGCAGTATTTTCCTCAGCATTCCAACCATTCTTGATCCATCTTTGGCTCCAGATGGTCGACATATACTCCACATTTTTACAACTTCTTCCATCGAGGATTGGGAGGTAAGAGGCTTAACTTAAAAGAGTGAGACCAAGCATCAAATATTTGTCTTATTTGACCGTATCATCTGAATTTTGGTACTAGGGACTTCCTCCAAAAGAGTATGAAGCGAAAAAGGAAGAGGTGGCAGCTGGTATAATACAGAGGCTAGAGAAAAAACTGTTTCCTGGTCTCAGTTCATCTATTACGTTTAAGGAGGTTAGGCTTAATCCTTTGTTCTCGTGCATGAGAGCAAGCCTAGGCCTTAATTTGAGTTATTTAGGCTGTATATCTAAGGTTTTTTTTTTAAATGCAGGTGGGCACACCAAGAACACACAGGCGATATCTTGCTCGTGATAAAGGAACTTATGGACCAATGCCAAGAGGAACCCCAAAAGGTTTATTGGGCATGCCGTTCAATACAACTGTAAGTCAAAAGAAAAGATAAGATGGTTCTGCTGCTTAACTAAATGGTTTTGGCTAATGGTTTGGCTGATTATAATAGGCAATAGATGGTTTGTACTGCGTTGGGGATAGTTGTTTTCCTGGTCAGGGAGTTATAGCTGTGGCTTTCTCAGGAGTGATGTGTGCTCATCGTGTAGCTGCTGACATTGGTGAGAAAAGCAGACTTGTTGATTGCTATTAGCGTAAGAAGCTAACACTTTTTTCGTCATTTGATTTGTAGGGCTTGAGAGAAAATCAAAGGTACTTGATGCTGGTCTTCTTGGTTTACTTGGTTGGCTAAGGACACTCGCATAGTGTACAGGCGACAAATGGAAGTGTTCCTCAAGTCCATGAGAGTGTCTTTTACTATGAATAACTTTTTTTTTTGGTTTAGGACCAAGAAAAGTTGCACATAGATAAGAAAAATAAATTTTCCAATATTCAATATTATTTGTCTCTCTTCATAAGTATGCAAATACAGGGAACCATATAAGTATGCATGCATATGAAACATATAAGTCAACATTATGCAACAACACTAGTTAGTACTCACAGCGCAAGCCTTGCAGCAATGACCTCACCAACGAATGGACGAAACACTACAATTCTAAAACTCACCTACAACAATCACAACAACAGAGAAACAAATATTGCAAAACTCAATACATTGTGATGCCACTAACTAACAGTGTGAACTGAAGAATAAGATGAGAAAAATTGAATTGTTACCTTATAGGTGGCAGCACCATCACCGGGTAAAACAAAACCTCCTTGTATTGATTTTATGTCGTAAATAGACACGCAGAGGCCAATGGACAGAACCTTTTTTTTTTGAATTATTAGTTTAAAAAAAAATCACTTAAATGGCATTATTCAAAATAATAATAAGGAAACGGAGGGTGGTGATGAACAGACCTTGTCTAGAAACAGATTTTGGAGCACTGTTTTAATGGCATCTTCGAGTGGGAGGAGGTTGAGGAGATCCGGAGGCACTCTTACTGTATCTTCCAGCTCGCTAAGACAGAACATATCTCTGCAAAATGTTCGAAAATAACTCAAGACGATTAGGTGAAGCCTGAGAGAATCTGTTCAACTTGAATGACAAGCCCTAATTCTAACTGGCCGCCAAAAACAAAGGAGAGATGATCACGTAAATGTACACGTGAGTAATGTTAATGAGCTTTTTAATTGGCCCAATAAATTTATTAAGCCGATGTCATAGAACACAAACGAGAGAGAATTAGACAAGATACAGAGAGAAGTTATTAACTTATTACACAATGCCAATCCAGATTCACAAGTAGAAGAGACACAATCTGTAGTGGCTGTGACCAAGTCTAAGATTTAAGTACGCTGTGGAAAGATAAAAATAAAGTAACACATAAGAGTTAAAGAATGTTGGGAAAAAGAACCCACATGAAAAACTTTTGAAGAAGTACATTCTAAGCAGCTATAGGTAGCTAGGACTACAGTGTTAATTATTTAAGAGACTAAGTAGAGTAGAGAGTGTGATCTTCGTACCAGGTTAAAGAATTTTATGTATGTAGAAGTCAACTTCCTTCTTCTCCATTCTTCCAGATTAATCAGATTCATCTCAAACGCCCACATGCACGCTTTAGGATTAGAACTGAGTTTCCCAGGAATACTCATGTGAGTGTTGGCTACATTATTGATTTGCGTGATCGATGATAATTGTGTGGTTCGCTTAGTGCTTGTAGATGATTGATTAATTACTCTGCAGTTTCCCTTCATTTGTCCCGATACTGAAGGCTAGGATGTCGTGATGAACATCCATAAGAAACAGGGAGGAACGTTCAATGACATTACCCCAAATCAGATGAGGTATATGTTTGTTTCTTATTTAAAGTCTTTTGTGGTTAAACTTTTATGATTTTGTTTTACTAAAATCAGGAGTTCAAAGACTCGTTAAACGCATATCACCTTGATACGCTGAAGCTCACTGATGATATCCAGCCTTCTGATTATTCAAGAAGAAAATCGTATGGTCTTGGGAAGCGGAAGCAAAAGAGCTTGCAAGTATTTCCCACATGGGCTCTGTCAACATGGAGAAAAATGTCAGTTTCTTCACAATTCTCCGCCTAGAGAACCTGGCACAGTTGTGTGCGATCGTTGTGCAGAAATGGAAATCACTGCCAAATTCTTCACAGTTTTCCTCCTGGAAAAGTTGTGTGAAAATATTTCCAAAAAGGACGTTGTAACAAATGAGATGAATGCCGGTTTCTTCACCAAGAGCCAATCGAGATGGATATACCTAACAAGTCTCAGATACTAAAAACGCTTCCACATGAAATACGAAGGTTGAAAAATGAGTATTCAGTTGACGTTTCCAGTCAAATTGCAAAAAGGTGTTTGGATGGAGGATGAGAAGATTATATAGATCATATAGTGGATTTGGAACTAAGCGACAAGAATAATTTCCTCGTGATGTTTTGGGTGAGAGAGACTGAATGGCGTAATTACCTTGTGGAAGGAACCCTGAACAACACAATGGATTATGGTCTTACGACAGAAAATAGTATATCAACATGAAATGTGGCCAATCTGACGACGTGACCATGCGTGCTTTGGGTGTTCATTTTAGTTGGGCTTAGCATACATTCAAAAGTTTGGAATTCCAGAGGAAGAACCAAGGCATGAGTTATTCAGCTGTTTAAAGGAGAGGAAGATAAAGACAAGCCAGCCATTATACAGCCTAGAAGGTTTTTATGAGTATGAAACATTAGACCAAACTCTTGTTAGGCTTACAACACACCCAGTTGGTGCAACACTTTACGGATTTAGTGGCTGGGATGGGGGTGGTATATATAGAGGGCCAATGGAAGAAAATGCTGAAATTGAAGGATTACATGCAGTCATTATGTGTGAGCTGAGGATGATCGATGGAGAACCCATTATTCTCTGTAAAAGCAGCAACGGAGATGATTACGGAGGAGTGGAAGGGTTCCAAGGTTTTGTTGCCGTAGCTGCAAACGTCATGATAATGATTATGGGTAAAAAGACGGCTAATGACAATGAAGGTCATTGGGTTTGCCCTAGAAAGCATTCAAGCCTCCTTACTGGATTTTATTCAGTGGAGATGCCCTACAAAGACCCATTTTTAACCTATAGAAACCAAAGGATAGAGAGAAAAACAAAAAGTTCAAGGTAAATTGGTTATAAATACTTTGCTGCTTTTATGTTAGATATATAATAACTAGGTGGTTGCTCGCGAATTCGCGGATATAAATATTGTATGAAAACATATATTATGTATATAATTTCATAAAATAATAATTAGAAACATTAAAACATATTTTTTAACTTCACATACAAGTTTGACAATCAGTCGTAAAGTTTTCATAAATTTGATGTAAAAGTAACTGATTAATATTTAGTAATAACAAATACTTGTGAAATTATATTATGTATGTAATTATCACATTAACTTCCCTTACACACATATTATTCATCTTCTTCGGCCTCTTCTTGTTTTTGTCTTTATCAGTTTTTTATTAATTAAATTTATGCTAATATTTTCCTAATTATTTACATATTTTTTGCCAAATATTTATTGATCTCTAAATAGTAATACAAAACATACAATCAATGAACCAAAAATCCATCTTAGAATTATTTTCAATCATAACATTACCTTATTCACTATATTATTTGACTTAAATTCAAAATATTTTTTAAATCAAAGCTTTCACATGTTTCATTAAATATACTTTGTCTAATTTTCAAACTCTAACTATTTATACAGTATACATTATAAGAGATTAAAAATTATTATAGATATGACTATATTTTTATAAGAATATGAAATCATCATATCGATTGCTATAAATTGTTTTATATTCATTTTATGTAGTATATAAATATTAAAAGAACTAATCTAACATTATTACACAAAATTAGCTACCATTAATTTTATAATAACTTATATACTATGAAGGTTTTAAACTCATTTAAATAATCTATAAAGTCGTTTTTTGATCATTTATAGTTATTATAATGTCTTTGTATCAAAATTATATGTTTTATCTATGTATATTATGAATTATATAAGAAAATAAAGTTATCTTTACCACTATTTATAATAGAAAAATAAAGTTAGTAAATTATTTTTATTAAATACTTTTTAAACATATACTTTATATAATTTATTAATAAAATATTAGTGAATCCATATAAATGAAGAAGTATTATATAAAATTTTCATAATTGCTACAGTTAAATATTATAAATGATAATGCATAAGATTATATAGATTGTTTGGCAACTAATATTAATTGTTTCTATGATTGCCTCTTTTAAATTTGATTAAAATATATAAAAATTAAAAATCATCAACCAATCAAATGATAACAATTTTTTTAAAAATTCACATATGATTGACACATAAGCAAAATCACTTAAGTTTAATTAGTATGTAATATGACTAATATAATTATATTTAATGGTTTTGCCTAGGTGGACATTAGCGAGTATGATTGGCAGATTGGTCCCTGCTTTGAAGAAGATCAGGGACATCAGAAGAACCCGGCGAAGCTTGGAAGACATTACCGGTAGAAAGGGGATCTAGGTGACAAACTTTTTAAAAGTTAAATTCTATTTAAACTGATATTTATTAATATTGTATATTTTATTATTTTGACTAATATTTTAAATAAATTTAATTTAATTAAGCAAAACATAAAGAAAAATATAAATTTATTAATTGTAAATAATAATATATATGTAATATATTTAAAATTCAAAAAAGTAAAAAAAAAATATCTATTTATTTTGGTTAAATGTATTAAATCAACTTGTATAAAATTACTAAGAAAATTCATGGTATAGTTATTTAAAAATTATAGCTAAACTATATTTATAAAATTTGTCGATATCTAAAAGAAACCAATGATATTACAATTAAAAATTTATTAATTTTTAAAAATCATGTTATCAATTTTAATAGTCATGTCATAATTTTTTTTTGTAAAACTGATTGTAGAGATGACATGTGACAAATCACTTAGCAAATAATATACAGGGGATGGTCATAAGGATTTTCAGAAGATGACTTCAGTAAAATAACTTCCAACTTACATGTTCAATAGCATTAAGTCTAACTTCATTTGTCATGTTAGGAAAATATAAAGAGTTAAAGAATGTTAGGAAAACAAATGTTAAAGAATGAAGCTGAGAAGCTTGATTTAGCCAAAAAAAAAAAGAATTGAACCTAAATTATCGGAATCTGTTTCGGATCAAGCCTGAATATTGCACTGTTGCAAGTAGGAGTGATAGTAAGGGACATGTTTGTTCCAGTAACGTTTGTATTTCTCTATTCCAATATCCAACCACGGCTTCATGATCCCATCGTAGTGTATCACCGCTGCTTCCTCAATGTCAACCGTTTTGATGTCTGATTCTCGACCTAACCCCATCATATGCCATCTCTTGTCCAACGCTAATGTTTGCCCATAAAAAGTCAACCACCCTATTGGTAAGCTTCCAGCTTTCCACAATGGTCTCTTTGTTCCCTGCCCCAAAAAGAAATGGTGTTAGGTTTAGGTTCATCACACACATAGAACATGTGTATGCACATAGAGAAAAATATATGTTGAACGAAGAAGCACATTCTAAGCAGCTATAGGAGGACTACAGTGTTAGCTATATGAAGAGAGTAAGTGAAGTAGAGAGAGTGATCTGCGTACCAAGTTGAAGTATTTTATGTATGTAGAAGTCAACTTCTGTCTTCTCCATTCTTCGAGATCAACTAGATTCATCCCAAACGCCCACGTGCACGCTTTAGGATTAAACTTCCCAGCAACCCATGAGTCTGAGAAATTAATAAATGAGCTCATTGAATGGAGTGAAGCTTCACCTTCTTGACAAGTCTCTACAGCACCAACCACCTTCCCTTTCATATCAACGCTCCATAGTCTACTTAAATCTCGTTGAACTACTACATCATGGTCAAAGAGTATAATCTTTTTCAAACCCGGGAATATATCCGGGAGATAGAAGCGTGCGTGGTTGAGGGTGGAAATGAATCTTGGGTCATTGGAGTTTTGCTTCATCAGCAATTGATCAAAATCAGAAGGCAGGACATCCATATCATCAATGTTTTGGATTTGGATAGTAGCTCTACTGTGTCTGTTTAGCAAAAACCACATTGAGATTGATGGGTAGTTAAGCGAATCAGTCACGACATGGAATACAATTTTTTCCGGATCCTGCAAACAGCAATCAGAACTCAGGACACTATTTGTCAAAATAAAACATAAGAAGTGTGAAAATTTTACCTTTGAAGAAGATATTGTGGAGTTAACAACAACTGAAGAAGCCAAAACATTGTCAGAGAAGACAACATAATGATTGAGACTAGGATCATTGTAATTTTCCTGGTTAGGCATCTGCCTTTTCTCAGGATCCAGGGCAAAGTACTCTGATGTCAAACGCATGGAGAGACAGTGTTGCCCTTTTGGGGTGGTCCTTGCAGCAAGGTCCATTAGATATGCTGCTTGTTTCTTCTGCGCCTGAACTAGCTCTTCTGTATTGTAATTCATGGCACGGAGTTTGGTAGCCATGGCAGGGCAATTGTTGAAGACACGACTAGCCTTGTATAATACAGCCTCCATCGGCTTCAACCTGCGAAGAGCGCTGAAAGAAACAACACCACCAGATGTTACAATAAGAATCTTCTTAAACAAAAAGGGTTTTCGTCACTAGAAAGTTGTTTGTGATACAGCAAGTTTCTAGATGTAATAAAAGTATCCACTCCTTTTGAATCAAGCAGTTGTGCTTACCCCTTTGACAAATCCTTATCCTTTGTCACGTCACCAACAGCCCGTTCCAGATCTCTCATTCGAGTTCTCAACTCCTTCACAAACTGAGAATTACTTCCAGGTGGGGCAAAATTCAGGTAGGCCTTAGCTTGTATAATTTTGTCTCTGATCTCCTTTATCTTGATATCTATTGCTCCCTCACGCAGAGCCTTTGTCCTCTTTACAAACTTGGATAAAGGTGTTTTGAAATCCGTTTTACTAACAAGTTCCTTAACCGTTTGAAACTGGTCCTGACACAAAACAAAGCAAAAACTTAACATTGATACGTCTGATCTTAATAGGTTGATGGGAAGCCTAAATGGGATTTTTTCTATTCGCAAGATCAACTAAGCAACTGGAACTGTTTCATAGCCTGAGCATTCATCAAGTTCATGTTATCTAATAAATCAGCTGGATAAAACACACACCTTCCCATCAGAGCTTCCTGTCGTCTGCTGTGAATCCATTACTTTTTCCTCCTTGTATTGGAGATCATCTCCTGAAAAACTCATAACAACTAGAGATAAGAAAGCTAAAGAGTTAATTAAAAAAAAAAGCAAGCTTGATACTATGACCAGACCATTAGTTTTTGGGAGATCATCAATAGTTGTCTCATTCTCGTTGGACTTGATAACAGCACCATTTCCATTAGACTCCTCATCCTTGAAGAGAATGAGCCTTGGCCCCTTCAAGCCTTCTCCACCCACCTGAATCAACAAAGAGAAAGAATTGTAAATAAAATGAATGGTCAAAATGGTTTTGAGAAGATGACTTCAGTAAAATAACTTCCAAACTTACATGTTCAATAGCATTAAGTCTAAGGTCATTTGTCCTCTGTCTCTGCAGAAAAAAACGGTAGCATCTCAGCTACAACACATAATAAAGGCTAAAGAGTGTAGACTAAGATCTGAAGAACTTAGCACACAATCAGTAAAGAATCTCACAATGACTGATTGTATTAGCTCAATCAGAACAGAGTGATAAATAGATTCAAAGATGAGGATATAAAATCACACTTACAAAGTTGGATAAGTCTTCAATAGATTCTCTACGACCTGATAATCAAAAACAAAATTCAGATATGAAGAGTCCAAATACTTAGAGAAACATCAAACAATTGAGATAAGTCGATGACGATTATCATGAGTAGGTCAACGATAAAGTCAACAAGCAATTCCACACGATCATCCACTAAAATGTACAGAAAAGGATAAGGAGACGAAGGCTGACCAATGGGAGTGATGCTCTGAAGCCGATTCGAGACGAGAATAAGCGGGGAGAAGAAAGAGATCGATAGCAGGGAGAGGAGGAGAATCCTCTGCCATCGACGAGTTTTCTTCATGAATATGCGAAACATTAACCGTAAAATCTCTCTTCCTCGGTGGTGACTATTCGTATCTGTTCAAAACAAAATCATAATCGTTCACAAAGGAAGAAGAAGAAGTACGAATCTCTCTGGAGATATCCTGCTTGATCAACAAGCAAGAGACGAAACGCTGAGTAAATTTAGGGTTTTATAAATCCTTCTGAGGGTTTTGGTTTCCTCTAAAATGAGGAGATTATATGATTCTTAGCTTTAATTTCTGGGGGAGTTTAGTTAAGATTCAGAGCTTCCTTTCATGCATCATCATCGGGAGAGTCTGTTCTATTTTAATCATTGTTTAATGATATTTTTTAATGTTTACTTTAGGTTAATGTGAAGGACAAAAAGGACGCGGTGATGCTGATCAGGTGTGGGCAGGTGCATGTGGAGGCGTGTGATTAGGCCGTTGATGAAGTAAGTAATGAATGTGAACGATTTACTGTCTTCTTTTGGATTAGTGTGTACAATGTAATTCATTCAAATCATGTTTTACTTTTGTTAGATTAGTGTGTACAATGGTGGAGACGTAGAGTTAGATTTAAGGTGAATATAAAATTTGGTTTTATAAATTATGAGAGGATAAAACATTTGAATGTAAAGTAAGCTGGCCATGGGTCTTTCATTTCTTTGGCTGATAAAAAAATTGACGTTTAATGTTTTTTTCATAGATAGAGAGAATATGTATGGGAGAATCGGTGATTCCACCACTGAAGCGTCAAAAGCTGGTGGCTCTATGGTCGCAGAGAAGCTCAGAGCGCCAAATATTTACTGTATATATATATCGATTGGTTCCTCTGCAAATGATTATATAATGGTAATATTGGTCACATGCTTAAACTAGTCAATATGTTAATGATCTTACTCCTGAGTCCTGATAATTTTGAACATAAATATTACACGTATCACGTATGAACAAGTTGAGTGCAACATATTCTAGAAGATGGTCATCTTGTGCAGTATTTAATCAAATGATTTTACACATAAAAAGTAATCAAAATTTTCAGGATTCATGGTTCGGTACGTTCGCTCCTTAGTTTATTTGGCTTTGGACTAACTTAATATTATATGAACTTCTCTTCAGCATCACTTGGAAAACCAAATGCACTGTAACACTACCAAGAAAAACAATAGATACGACATATCCTGCTTTAAAACCGAATATCTCATTGCAGAATAAACCTCTTCGCACGTTTTTATAATCAAAAGAAACCTCACAGAATTCTCAACACAATGCAAAAAAACAAAAATAAATTCCATCAAGTATATCACGAGTTATAATCGAATCAATCGAGCCTAAAAGCACAGCAAATATACATAAAGCATATAATCCAACATCCACTAACTTCCTAATAGGCTAATCGACCTACCTCGAAAGTCATCCTATATAAGCCGTTGATAAGTAACGATCCAACGGTTAGTATTCAAACTTGGGAAATGAGTAACGATCCGCGTAGTCACTATTTCAACCAATCATATGAATTACCGTCTAATATAAAATCAAACGTTTCTAATGATCTCCACCTTCATCCTCATAACTGCTCCTACTCTCGAAATTACATTAAAAAAAATTCCGATGACGTCACCAGCGATTGAGAAAGAGAACGTCGCTCCCATGGAAGGAGTCAACACGAAGAAAGCTAAGGAAGTGAAGGTGAAGTCGAAGAAGAAGACTGTTTCCACGGCTCCGAGGAAGAAATCAACTTCAACTCATCCTACTTACGAAGAGGTACGAGATTCGGTTTATATTCTCGTTGATTAAACCGGATTCAATTTTTTGAGATTGGTGATTGAATTTCGGTTTTGTTTTGATTCAGATGATCAAAGACGCGATCGTGACGTTGAAGGAGAGAACCGGATCTAGCCAATACGCGATTCAGAAGTTCATCGAGGAGAAGCATAAAGTGCTTTCTCCTTCGTTCAGGAAGCTGTTGCTTCTTAATTTGAAGAAACTCGTTGCTTCTGAGAAGCTTGTTAAGGTCAAGGCCTCGTTTAAGCTTCCCTCTGCTAAGCAATCATCTCCCAAAGCAGCGGCGGTTACATCTGCGCCTGTGAATAAGAAGAAACTTACAACCGCGGCGTCTAAGAAATCATCCGCTGCTGTTGCTCGTAAGGTCACTGTTGCGCCGAAGAAGAAAGCTGTTGCGGCGAAGATCAAGGCTAAGGAGAGACCAGCCAAGGCGGCGAAAACAGCTACGGTTACATCTCCAGGGAAGAAAGCTGTTGCTGCTAAGAAGAAGGCTCTTGTGGTGGTGGCGAAGAAGAAGAAGACACCAGTGAAGAAGAGTGTGAAGCCAAAGACGGTTAAGTCTCCAGTGAAGAGGGCATCAAAGAAGGCTAAGAAGTGAAATTAGGGTTTAATGTTAGACGAATAATTGGCAGTAGCTTAATCTTGTAATTCGACTTCGTAAATAATAAGCTAAATCGTTTCAAGAATGTTTCCATTTAATAAACAATCAACAAATGTTCCTTACTACTTTTACATTCAATTTACTCTAATATAAACTCTCTTGTCTTTTTTTTTTTCTAAGCATAATCATTTGAGCTTTTGTTGTTGTTGTTTAGATCTTTCAACTTTCTGGATAGAGTATTTGAGTTCCTGTTGAATGTTAAACCTTGAAGGTGAAAGAACAATGTCTTTCCAGATTGAACCGGCTTCACAAGCTGGGTTTGGTTGGCTATAGAGCTGGTATATGGAGTCTGCGTTCTCGTTCAAACCTCCCACTCGTTTTAAACAGTCTATCTCCTCTGGATCCACTAGTAACGTCTTCTCCTTCTCTTTCCAACCTATCAGCTGCCATTAAAAAAAAACCCATAATTTTCACCTGTTAGTTTGTTCTTGCCTGCCAAAAACACAAGACTCTATGTTCTTGTTGAGTCTAGTGTAGGACTGTTGAAACTAGCCCAGGGGTGGTGCAAGGAGGCATACAAAATGAATTGATGAAGGTTTTAAGGGGAGATATGAGAATAAGTTGGTGCATTTTGGATTGGTCTAGGATCTTGGTTTAGGCATTGATCTCAGAGTTTAGCTCTTTAGTGAATTTGTCACATGTTTAAGCAACTGTTTTAATACAGATGTAACATATGAACAAGTGGTTTTCTTGTTAAGTCTAGTGCAGGAAACTAGTAAGTATAGCTTTTCTACAGATCAGTTAACTGAGAGAACTGATGAAGGCTTAGAGAGGAGCTATGTGAATGAGTTGGGGGCATTTTGGATTGGTTTATGCATAGTCTAGTTCTTTTAGTTCAAATCTCAACACTAACCTTTGGTGAGCCTTCAAGAGCGTTGGTGCAGTAGAGCCTAGCACCATCAACAAGGCTGCAATACGTAGGAAACGCATCTGCAAACCTTTTGTGTGATCTCAGCTGCGATCTCACCCTAACCGCCCTTCTACAAATGATAGCTCTCCTACACTCTCAGCCAAGAAACAAAAAAAACAATGCAAGTTAAGACACAAAACAAACTTGAAAGATAGATTAAGAGAACTCACCTAATCCCTCTTATAACCGCTAAATATGCATCACAGACGACTCCAACTAGTTCTATCCTATACGGTTTTCTCCTCCTCCCATCCTCCTGCAGCTGTTGTCTTTCACCAATCCTTTCCCAGTAATCCTCTGTGATGACGCCATCATCATCAACCTTGTATCCAGGTCCCATTCTGTAATGGTGACGGTGCACGTTCCTCGCCATTGTTATTGTCTGCACCACAAATGGTACCCAAGAGAGTGTCCCATCCATTATCACGTCTCTTCCTTCGTTTAGAGCTGTCACTAGCAGCGATGAAGCTGCATCTGTTGATGACTGGTGAACCAGTTCAGCTGTCTGGATCATATCTACATGTCCACGAGAGCTTAAGGCTCTGTAAATGACATCAGATTCTTTGAATGCATCGGCTTCAATCACCACAGCGTCTGCTCCTGCCCAAAACGCTCTGAATCCATATGATAAAAACAATATGGTAAAAAGCTTCAACAACACATTCTTTTAGTATAATGTAATGATGATTAAGGAGATGTTTAATTACTCTTTGAGTATGTCTTTAAGCACAGTGCTTTTCCCTGCACCCATCCCACCACCCATGAGGAGTAGAACCGGGCTTCTGTCTTTATGAGCCACTGGTTCCATAACTTCAGTACACTGTGAGTCATCCACAGAAGCTATCCCCATTGCTCTCATCTCCTCTACCAAAGTGTTGAACACTCTCGCCACTTTTAAGTTCTTAGTCACCCTATTAATCCTCTGTTCTCTATATTCACACACATACACTATCATTCATGTATCACTAAAACACAACACACGTTTCTTTGTTCCTTACCTTGTAGCTGCCATCACAATCTGCTTCAGCTTCCTCTTAGGCTCAGTATCCGCATGTAGAATCTGAGATTCATATTATTATCATGACACTGAATGTTTTGGTCTATTATAACTGGAGAAAAAAAAAAAAAAAAAAAAC